TCTGTGGCACTTTGTTTGGGAATTAGGCACTTTCGCCGACCTACGTAAGATGCTTTGAACTTTTTAAACCGCTCATTACCTGGTATATTTAAGACTACCACACTTAGTTTAGTATCTAGTCTTTTGATATAGCAATCAACGACTTAAATTAGTCATCAGTTTTACAGGGGATTGAGCTCGTTGCTTTTTACTTTGGTTAACCATAACTATTTGATATGAGAGTTAATAGTTATAGGTATGGAGGTAGTGGAGTACTTGTGCAAGGATTACAACAAGATAAATTTTATGTAACGAATCACGCAAAAATGTAACGCAAACGTTGGACGTACCGTTATTGAAGTGAAGAAGTTTATCAGGATTCCTACCTTGGTTACCGATTCTGTGTCAAGTTCACCGAAGTTTATGGATCTGGTCAGGATGTTCAGAGGTGTAAGTTCACAGATCTGGGATTTTATGTCACCAGACTGTGTTCGTGGTTCAGATATGCTGGCCAAATTTCCTGAACATCCTGCATTCATAGCCTTACTACACCTTATATCCCGCATCTCAGTCTTCATCTCTTCTACATACAGCTTAAGTCGTTCTATTTTTGAAGTAAGTGTTGAAGCTGGATATGGTATCTGAAGTTTTAGTGACACGTACATAAAGTTTAGGGAAGAGGTCTATGTCAGGACTAGGCGCTGAATTTGCAGGAGCGATGATGCCACTATTTGTCAGTATATTTTCGCTGTCAGTTCCAGTCACAGTAGATGGTAACGATACAGCAGCTCGACGCTTGTGGCATATTGGCAAGTTGTGAGTCTCACTTCCATATTTGTGGGAGTTGTGTTGCCCATTGTTGCGAACACATATGTGCTATCAGTCATCAGGCTAACAGGTGACTGAGTTCGTTGCTTTTTCCAATGATTAACCATAACTAATTAGTGAAAGAGATGTTGGTTACAATTATGGAACTGGAGAACCACTTGTGCGAGTCTCAAAACAAAAAATGGATACATATAACGAATCACGCTAAAATGTTACTCAAGCGTCGGAAGTACAGGGAAGGTAATACAGTAGTCTGCAGTGATAGTTTGGATTTCCATAAAGGCTTTCATGGACAAGGTTAGTGTTTCGCACTTAGCCTTCAGAAGACTATTCAGCCCACTTAAAATAAGCATACCTGAGGGATGGAAATCAAAATAACAACTTGCCATCCTTACAAGTCTATGCAAAGGGTTCAGTAATATTGGCAGTGAAAAGTTACGGATGGTCTGCCATACTTATTGGTTGCATGTCGCAGCAAACTCGGAAAGTACACGCCATTCTTGTACTTAGTTTGATCGTTGTCGAATATTTTAGAAGTCGGAAGAAGACGTTTTCAGGCAATCACGATGAGTTCCTTCATCTAAACTAGCTAGTAGGATATCGCTAATATGCGCTCAAGCAAAATCCAGATGGCTGGAGACGTTATGAAAGAAATACTGGAATGTTTTCGAAGTATGTAATGAACGTAGTCTTTGAAGTATCATTAAAGTCAACTGGAACCTAATGACGGGCGCCTGGCAGACTAAGCCTGCTGAGTACATATGTGTCTTTCAAGGAGGCATAGAAATCAGGTACGTAAGAGTGAATAGCACTCAGAGGCCGCTGGGCCTTTGAGCCTTCGGTAATCATCACAAGTCGTCTGATCCATACTGGTGTTTCAGGCACCGCATGTGTCAGTGAAGATCTTCGGTTAAGACAGCCTGGATTTCCCCTGGAGAAAACGCCTTGGTTAAGCGAATACAGGTTGGTCAGTCATCATGAAATAATGTGACACCGGTAGTTACGTGATAAGCCATGACAGGGTCTGAAAATATCTGGAAAACTTAGGATGATAGAAGCGCAGTGACCTGAAGTGTCTGGAATACACTTGGCTAAAATAAAGAATGTGTAGCATACCAGAGAATGGGAGCTGTGCGATGGAATCTACTACCTTCTAACTGCCGACGTCAACCAGTAAGTGTTATAGAAGATCCATGCCAAGAATGACAGAGATCACGCCGGTGACAATAAAACCCCAACGGGTAGGTTGGCGAGTTCTGATGTTGAGGCTATAGAATTTACATCCATAATTAGCACGTCGCATATTCCAATGCATGTTGGATTAAGTTAGCTTCTGTCACTACGTTAACCAAGAACAGTATTCTAGTGTGGTGGTCCGTAGCATAGAAGTGGTTCTGCAGCGACATCGGCCGCCTTCTTGATGTCGGAGGTGCAGGGGTAGGTGCACCTGTGCACACTGACCCCACAATATTTACAGAAGCCTGCACGATCTGTATTGCAATTCTAGTGGTTTCCATCTCCCACCTTCAGAAGGCAAGAATGATCTGCTGAGACAGCTGTGTGTGACTGTGAGATGGGTTTGTAGCTCCCACTTCCTTCCTAATCTTTACAACACCTCGTAGTGTAGGCCACTTGTCGACTAAATGGTTAAGCGAAAGGTCTACCGCAACGGTTAGAACCAGTGTGCCACCCATCCGAAGTACTTGTGCCCGGCCTAGCAGCTTCGACATCTCTGTAGGATGCCCGTGCTGACTCGACTGAGGTGAGTTTTGGAAGGGTGCTAGGACTTGATCAAGGAAAGGATGAACAGATTTTCGGGATCATATAGCCCATTTTATTTCGTGCTGGAATTCCCTAAACCATCTCAGGCAGTCCTCACAGCTACAGTTGTTCAAAAAAAGTGTCATCGGTCTTGAGATCAATAATCAGATGTGTCACCTGGTGATGCATCCAAGTGGTCCTCTGGAGAGCTCTCGCATCTTTGGCTGGTATGCAAGTGCAGCTGTCTTCATTGAGAAGGAATTTACATGACAGTACTGCTTTGAGCAGGGATCATCAAGGGCATCCAAATAACGTTTCTGGGATGGGTCATTGTCAATAAGATGGACCTGGTTTCTGGTGAGCAGATACGACTCAGGGCAAACTGAGCTTCCATATGGGAAAATCATGCAGATGGTAGTTCCACCAAGGATACGTGAGGCCCCACTGTGATTGCCATCTGCATGGGGAAGTCGTTTTCAGCCACTGTATAATGATTTATGGTGTGAATGTAATATTATATGGCAATTATGGGATAAAACTGACGTCCACAACAGTACAAAAACAGTAATACCCTGTCGCTCAAAATGCACAATAATACAAGCAGCATAGAATTAAAATATGGCTGCAATATATCCGACTTATGTTGAAATCATGAAATCAGTAGTTGGGCCAGACACTTGCAAGACACTGTTTGCGTTGCTGGAATGCTGTACTTTACCGGCCTCCATAAACACGGTTTCAAATTACCCGCCTGACCAGAACACTGTTGGACTTGCAAGTACTGTGTAGAAATAAGCCGCAATGAGCAACACACTTAAATATAATGTTAGGAGTTTCCCGGTGAAAAGACCTGGCACTAAGCTTGCTGAAGTGACTGAACTAAGGACCCTTAGCGTATCCATTTTGACGACACAAAGGAAGAGAGCTAGGTGGTGTCTGGATGCATCGCCGTTAAAACAAAACTTAGAATACTTAAAGCATCAACGAACAGTTTGGGCATTCATTCAGTTAATGTTATTTTAAGTCACCTTGATCAATTTATTCGACCCTAGGTTTATTTTGGTGCTTTGGAAGGTGCACTACGGTGTTCTGGATGAAAAGCTTCACCAAGAACATCCTGGGTCCATGAAAAATAAGTCAATGCAGAATAAGTTGTCATACTATGCATCGTCGTCGAACGAGGCTAAGAAAGGCAATCAACCTTTTACCACAAATTCGATTTTGTAAAAGCGTTCTATGGAGTTGACCATAACGGTCTGATTACTGTTTCAATACTATGGGGTAATTTACAATGTAGAGCTCAGAGAATGGTTAGCAGCAAAGCCAGGAGCAAGGCAGAGCTGTGTACAATCACCGGTTACCTTCCCGTGTATGATAGACTGGATTGTGCAGATGACTACTGGGGGTGAGAAGACTAGCTTATATTATGCAAATAAAATGACCACGAAAGATGTTGATTTCTGGGATGATGTATGCCTTGTGTCTTGCAAACTGGAAGACGTACAAACGGCAGCCTGCAAGTCTGCAAGAGAGGAAGTAAATTGATGTTTTACTGAAACCACAAATTAGCGAAGGAGGAACCTCAAGTGAAATTGAAGGAGACAAAATTAGTGCGGATGCCCATCCAACTACAGCAAGCAATAGTCACCACCGACGGGTGAAATCTAGAGCAGCCGGTTATTTGCACGTATATTGGGGCGTAGTTTCAACTACAAACTACAAAAGAATGTTGAGGCCAGGGTCTAATAAGGAGAGTAGGACAAAAGTTCACTCCTTAATAGTGAGGCCGAAGGCTCTTAGCAGAATGAACAATATCCATATTTTCTAAGCTATCGCCAAGCTAATGCCTCTATGTGGTTCAGAGACGTGGAACGTACGTAACCAAAAGCACTTATGACAGCCTGTGGAGACAATAAACTTCAAGTGGATAAACATAATTCTCTAATGCTACTCCATTCTTCCTATTTCCCGCGTTAATTAATACTTGGGAGGTTCTCGGTAGAGTTGTAAACTGTTGTAGATATCATTATATGTGTATACGTACAGTCTGAATATGGACTGAAATGGTGTATCTCTATCAGTAGACGGCTGTAACGAAACCAGTTTACAACAGGTTGTAGGTATCAGGTCCTTCATTTTCTTCCAAAAACGAAATTATTGTGTCACTTAGTCTGCATCTGAAAGAAGAAATGCCATAGATATACAGACCGAGTGCAATTTCTGAAGAAACTGGCTTCAGGACGTGTGTACCAAACCCACATTCATGTATATTTGACAAAGGCGAGTGAGTGGTCACGATAGTAAGAATAACTTAGGCAACCGAAAAATTATTTATAAATTTTTCGTTCCTATATTTTTCACAAGTAATGTTTGCAAATAGTATTGTTTACTGTGCTCTTTAAAACAACTGCGTTGTCAACAGGACGCTTTGCCGCCATAGTGAGCGCCATAGTCACCGTAGCTGTTGGCGACTGTTTCCTGTCAACTAAGGTGGGCTTTTCATTTTATGATTTAAATAGCAGTTTGGAGTCTACTTGGTGTAATCTCAGTATTAAAAGTTGAAATAAAATGTAATGATACAAACTATGGATATTTTACTTTTTGCAGTCATATAACAAATAAAATTTTGCATTCCATGTCAGCAGTGGCTGTGTATTTGGGAAAGGTCAAAAACATCGTTACAGCGAGGAAAAAATTTCTTTTCCGAAAAGTTATCAATCAAGATGCGGATATTTAACAAAATAGTGCGAAAACTCCTGATTTACTTCCAGTCATGCCTCAAAATACGTCAAGTAGCAAATTGAAGTTAAGTGATGCTAAAGGACTAAAAATAAGAAAATTAACTGGAGGTTGGAAGAGTAGTCATAATCGAATAACTATTTGCTCAAGAAAGTAATTTTTATGATAGCCAAAGTGAAAAAGCGACTGAACATAAATTTTGTGGACACTACGTTGAATTCCCAATGCTTCAGCATTGACCTTCCATTTGAGAGACGTGATCAAAAATCGCATAAGATTTTAAGGAATTCAAGGGGAGCTGATTGTCTTTAGTCGAGGTTATGTTACAAAAGTGAGACAAACCTGCTGTGCCTTCGCCAACAAGGGTTGGTAGTGTTTACCTGTTTGTTTCGCGAGCGGACTCGGTATGACCTGTCTACTTGGCACTGCAGAGGCATGTGAACTGGTTTAAGCATACTGATGTGGCTTAATGCTCCAGCTAGTTACTTGCATATCGGATATCTTTTTTTCCGCTTCAGAAGATTGTTCAAACACAAGCGGCAGAGCATGCAACGGTATCAGATTCCAGATTTATCAGGAAAATATTTTAGGAATTATAAAATAGGTCTATCCAGTGGTGTTTTATGTTTCTAGTTTCATATCCAAGTTTCTCCACAGATTTTACAGATCCATTACTGCATATTCTTTAGAGTTTTGAGGATAGTTCTTGGAAAAGATCGTTAAGCTCCATCAGTTCAGGTTGCTAAGAAATATGTTGCTGTGGCCAGTTTGTCTCCTTGTTCAGATCATTGTTGCATAATGACTATTACTCTAATCTGTTCATTTTCTTATTTTTAATCCTTTTGTATCACTCAATTCCATTTCTGTACTTAACGTATTCTGTGGCATGATTGGAAGTAAATCTGGAAATTCCTCATCATTTTGTTTAATATTCACAACCTGGTTGATAACTTTTTTCTAGAGAAAAATTTCTCTCTGCTGCGGTCACGTTTTGATTCCTTCAATGATCAAATAGGTATATCGCGTTAATAAATAGCAGGACTATATATCTGCCACGTTAAAGGATTAAACTGACCAGTCTTATATTCAAACTGCGAAAGTTATGTTTTATTTGGAGGTCTTACAACTGACCGGTTGTTAAATTGAATTATGTTGTGTGTCTTTCTTTTTGCCACAGTTCATTTCAGTGCCAGGGAATATTTTCTTGTCTGCTGTGAAATCTGTTTTGTTAAACATTATGTTGATTAATTTGTGATTGTTTTTAGCAGTAACGCATTATTATTGGTTTACCATCCTTGGTGCTAAAGCATAATATGCTTAGCATGCTAGTAGCTGTGTGCTAGTGTTTAGTGTGGTGAATAAAACTTTATAAGACATTTATTTCATCAAGATGATTAGTGAGGAAGTTTAAGTCAGGCATATGATGAGGAAATCATCAAATCTGGCTTCCTCGAATGTATAGGTTATGCGTGACACGCCATTTGTAGGATGAAACTTCAGTATCCAGTATCTTCTGAAGTCATTATATTTTTCAACCCAAAGTGATTAAAATATGTAGTTATAACACCACCTCTTGGTTGTCAGTACCTCTTGAGTTGACGTATACCATACACCTGGACATACTTTCGATTATTAATTGCTTATAGCGGTTTTTAGTTGAACACTGAAATCCTCGGCTAAAACACTATTAACTGTTCTAAGAACTCGACTTCTAGCTAATGGGACCCGGGTTCAAATTCATCCCCACTCACTTCAACTTGGTAGTGTCATCAGTGGTTATACAATAAGTGTGGCTTGTAGCCTAGGTGATAGGGTTCGTCCCGGGTAACGGGTTTATGGCTAAACAACTAAGATTATTGTGGTATCCATGATGCAGCCATACCTGACATGAGGTGTGACATCCCGAGCTGTTGCACATCTGTGCGAAGTTCTATGTTGAAACCAGTCAGCCAGTCAGTGACACGATGTAATCTAGAGCAGGTGGCACTGTATTTGAGAGTTAAAGTAGATAGGTGAAAGTCATCAAATATTTTAGTTACTGAAATACATTAATAAGAAATGAATCAAAGTGTAATGACAACAAACCTAAGAAAGTATACTTAAATAGAGTAGTGAATTAAATGAGATATTTAAGAGTCATCTGGAGTCTAATTCCGTTTGCAGTCAATCAGGATTACCACATTTCAGCAGTCCTAGTCGAACAGCACCTTCTCCTTAATGACTTGAATCAGAAGTTGCAAAGTTTGTTGGTTAATGCAATGTTTCAGTCTGACTACTGTTAAATAAACATTGCTTGTCACGTGTCCTTCTTACATAACTCTCTAATATCACTGTTGATCTAAGTTGTGGGTTATGTAATCTGAAGATTCATTAGGTTTCAGTTGACCTACTTTCCCTTCCAAGTCTGAATTCGGTAAATGTAACCTAACACATGTCCGTGAGCAGCTTCTCTAACACCTGGACCTGTATTTCATATTTCCTACATTACTGACTTAAGGAGGAGCTTGTTCGTCTCGACTTGACCAACGATGGTGAGTTATTTCATGCGATGCCATGTGTGATTGGCTACGAGCAGTTATCACTTGCACTGAGGGGCTACTCAGAGCAAATTTTTGTTTCATATACTCGAAGAATAAAACAACTGTCAATGTATAGGCAACCAGAATGTAGCAATCGCTTGCATGCTAAAATAATCGCACAGAGTGTTAACTTTCGCACATTCATTTCTTATTTTCTTTGCAGTATTAATAATAAACTAAATTTACTCAGAAACCACTTGTTTTTTCATGCAGTTGACAATAGATCACACCTATTATGTGATAGTGACTGGCTGCCCAAACCTTGGTAGTTGGAGTGAAGTTCAAACCCATTTTGAATACTCTTCCGTAAACAGTTTCTTCAACTTCTTTTAATAATTGATAGCGAATTAAGTTTGAGAAAACATTCCTGTTTACTTAAAACCACGCTGAAAACTTTACATCAGAGCTCCCAGCGTCCGAGTCTTTTTCTATATAATAACAGGCTTCAGTAGGCAAAACTGGCACTTTAAACTGGTGTGTATTATATCTCTAAGTCATGCACACGAGACAGTAGTTTAGTGATTCATTTAACCCGAATCTGGGAAACATGGCGATTTCACGAAGTCCACCATGCAGAGATTTTGACTGGTTTTTGTAAACTTGTTGGTGTCAAGATAGTGTCACTCTCAAGCAGGATACTCTCGGCTAGGCACTGTCCGGCGTATTGAGTCAGTATGAATTAGGAAAGATTATCACTATCTTTTTGTAAACTACGCCTACGAATTCATTGACTGTATTTTAAACCAAGTGAAGAATGAGTTTCATGAGATGCCGTCTTCTCTGTTGCTAAAAACAGGACATATAGATGAATGATTTTAATGCCTAGATAAAGAAACTGAAAATCACTTTGAGAGCATATACCTTTTACAATTTTGTTCAAATAACGGTGTTTTCTATCAGCAGTAAATTTAAACATAAGGAGACATTGTCTCACCTACTGACTGTTGACCTGCAGCCAGCTATAGGCACAGGTAGATTACTTTGCTTTAAGTTTTAAATGAACAAGGTTTTTGGAGAAGATCCCTGCTCTTTCTGGAACCCATATGACTTAGTGGGAGTAGTAAACAATTAACTATCGAGTACTTAAGTGCTTAGATCTGCTTCAGGGAAATGATCAAGCAGTGATCTAAGCATGACAGAAATGCTTCCCTTGCGGAAATCTGGTAGCATATCCAATCTGCTACAGAAACACTTATGAATTCACTTGATGACCTGCAGCCAAAAATTAGTAAATGCCAGTGGATGCAAACTGATGGATTCAGTTGAACTTATCCTGACAAGCTCCGAACACGACGGGAAGCAAAAGCTACTGAAATACTATCAAAGTCTTTGCAACAACTCCAAATGATAGGCGACAAAAGCGTGAAAAATTAAAAGGCACTTCTGTGCAAATTTCTACGTTGATAACTCAGTCATTATATAATTCCATTCTAGCGTGTTTGTGAGACATACCACACAGTGGAACATTGTTTTGAATGCAGCTTATTTATATTATTATAGTCATATGTGATGTTTATTTTTCAGGTGTACAGATCTTTGCATTTTACCCTCTGGTGGTCATGCAATCTGCATCTGGACCAGGTGCCACCATCGTACATGTTCCTCCAAAGAGTCATACCATCTTACAACAAGGTAGTCAGCATGTTCTGCTTGGAAAACTTGGTAAGTTTTTTTTACTTGTGTTGATTATTGTCACTTTCTTTTTTTTCTCAACCTCAGAGTCTCCTAACAATCGTCCTCCAACAAGTGGAGTTGAAACTAGCCTATTACAGGCAGTTCATTCAAATAACTCCCAAACTATATATCCTGCTCATTATATTGAAGCTATAGCTGAACAAATGGTTTATGCAGGAAATGGAGAAGGCGGGTATGTCATGTCGCTAATAATTTGTTTCCTGGGATTTTTATTAATAAATTTTAATTCTTTCGTATTATGTTAATAATTTTTATTCAAAAATGAGTGTTCTATGTGCACCACACTTAGTTTTACTATAATATCCGCAGAACTGTGAATATCTACAACTATTGTACGGTTAGGGTATTTGCTGACGTTTTGTATTGAGTAACAGTTGTTTCTGTAGTATCGTCTGTCTGCACTGGCTTAAGCACTATACCTTTAGTCAATGGGTGGTCCATGGTTCGAATCTGGCTTCACGTACTCCAACCTAGGTGACTGGGTGGTATCGCTAGTCATCAAAGACACTCACACACACAGGTGTGGATTGTAGTCTGGTAAGGTGAAAACCTATTCCGGATAACTGAGTTCTAAGTAACTAACTACCTAACTGTTGCATGCATCCAGTAATAATCCATATAACGCTAAGATCTTGTGGTACACATATTGGGACAAGTCAGGTAGATAGTTTCTTCAAGTATTGGCTTGTAGGGATTTTGATTGATTGGTTACAGGATTTCATCATGAGCTGACATCAGTTAGAGAACCATTGGAAAACTACCAAGGAGTACTGGAGAACTGTTTAGCCAGCCTAGTTTGGACTCTTCGACAGTACGCACCCACCCCATTAGGGTTCGAACCCAGGACCTTCTGGTTACAAGGCTAGCAAGGTCGTAGACCATTAAGCCACTGGGACCCGATCCAATGACCTATGAATTATAACTTCTGCCAATTCATGACATAGCGCAACCGCTAGCCAATGTCTTCGGCGAGTATTTGTCCTCACACCCAACCTGCTGCACCCTACTGGTTACGACTTCCGATATTTTTCTGTTTTTTATTGTGTTACGAATGTCCTCTGCATGACTTTTGCTGCAACTTATCGGAAAAATAGAGAAGTAATCAGTCTATAACGTGGATCTCTAGGAGCGATTGTCGTACACATTAATATTTGTTTAACCTTCATAAAATATCTCTGACTGCAACTAGATACATTATCAAATGCGGCTAGAAATTGAAATCCTTGATTTTCATGCTTTAGTTTTTTTCTTTCTGTTGAAAACTGAATAGTAAATAAAAATCACCGTTTAATCGTGTAATAGGTAATCATTGAAAGTGAAATGAAAACCTAGGTCACAGTAAATATTCAAACCAATTGGTTCCGGGTTACTTGCCGTGTGTGTGTGTGTGTTTCTACCAGTTGACCTACGACATCCAACTGTTAACTAAGTCATCATTTTAGCAGTTACATCTTCACTCTATATGATAATGAAACGGTTTCCTACACATTATGATGTACAGTGATTCGATTGGTTTGAAACTGAGTTTTTTTTCATAGACCAACATCGACGGGGCAATAGTCAACCACCTAGCTGAAGACTTGTAAGGCGTGCGTGTACATGACCTTAAATGAGACTCATGAAATATCTGTCATAACTTAGCGCCATATCTTCGTCTAAGTCATGTATTGTCTTTTGTTTTCTTCAACCTAATCTGAAGTAGTTTCATGTTTTGGTTGGTAGTGAGTGGGTAGAGTGTGTGTGTGTGTGTGCGTGTAAAACATGTTACAGTCATTTTGTTTGATGTATTACACATTAAGCATAATCTAAAGATAGAAAGATTTGTATGTATTTATATAGGTTTCATATGTTGTTGTGAAATGTATGCAGAATGCAAGTCATGTATGTTAAGACGTCATGGGAATACTATCTTTTAACCATTCAAACATATATATATATATCTTCAGTAGTCCACTTGGATTATTGGCTTTATACTCTACCTTAAAGTTGACTTTTTCCTGACTTATTTTACCTATTATCCATCTATACGACCTTTTTGCTTTTCGTGATGCGATTACGTGTAGATGAAGTTCAGCTGTGTATTTTTGAAATTAACAGCAGTGTTTGTTAATTTCCACAAATTAGTAGGTTATTTGTGTGTAGGAATCTGACCAAATCGTGACTTTATGACTTTGAAATGATTAGGTATTCAATTTTCAACCAGTAGGTTATGAGTCTGAATCCTGTTTCAGTTATTTAAGTTTTTATAGTCTGTTCGTATTATCAGCCCTCATACTTTAAATAGATGTGACTCATTGCTAATTACGTGGATGATTTATGTCTAATGTTACACAAATGTAACTAGAGGACGCACAGGTGGAAACCAACAGACTGTCAGAAGAGGCTGGTAGCAAAGACAGAACTTCAAGTGTGTCAGTGGCACAGTGGTTAGGACCATGGTCCGGGGTTCGATCCCCTGCCGACGCACACCCGATATCTATGGTCGGCCTGCAAAATTTGGGCTACCGATATCCATGCTGAAAATTCCATACTTGTACTGAAAATACGGCGTGGAATCAAGCTGTAATCAAAATAAATAAATAAAATAAAGAAGACGGAATTAATTTGAGAAAGGTCAGTTCCTTCACTTATCTAGACAGCATAGTTCCAACTACGAGCGGAAAGGATGAGGATGTTAAAACCAGCGAGAGCTAGAAAGGTAAGGCAAACATTCATCAGTCCGAAAGCAGTTTGGAAATCTTCTGTACTCAGCATGAAGAAGTCAGTCAGTTCTTCTATATGGGTTAGAAACTTGGAGCTCTCATCACTAAGAGCATTTCCAACAGGCTACTAAAGACTTTTATTAACAGCTGTCTTCTCCGGCTCTATGCTAAAGATCACATGGTCAGGAGAAATTAGCAACAGGAAAGTGGGAACAAACCAATAAAATATGACGAAGAAAATGGATATGGATTGGAAACACACTGAGGAAGGAGACTGTTGAATGACGTTGCACACTATCTCCTCGTGTGGAACCTGAATGGGGAAGGGCTAGTTTGGCGTGACTCTGAGGGCGACATGCAGGAGATCGTGTCAGGAGGAGATGGGAGACTTTGGGCAGCTAAAGAGGATCTTTGATTGGACACAATAGTAATTAGTGTGATGTGTCTAGCTAGTCCTTTGTTTGGTGAAGACTGAATTCTGTCAGTCAAGTTTGCAGATACGCCCTACTGACGAGTGCCAGCTAGCATGAAAACTAGGTCGAGCAAGGCTTCCTATCGATTGCCTGCTAACACCTTAGTGAATAGGACAGAGTGGAGATGTGCTGTTGAAGCCCTATGTTCCACTTGGAACTCAAGGGAACAATGAATAATAAATAAAACAATATACATTGTCAACTGCACCAATGGACGTGTTTTCCATTGCATTACTCACATTCAACTAACAACCAATTTTTGTGCACACTTTCGTTCACCTCTTCCTCTAGTTTGAATTAATAGATACCTGGGTAGTATCTTAAGTTATCAGAAATTAGTTTTATCTTGTAGCTTAGTAAAGATGTGGCTCAATAATGTAGGCAGAAGTCTTTAAGGTGACAGCTGGCAAACGCAAATGTCGCAGGAATCACTGAAATCTTGAACAACAAACAGCTTATCGCTTATGCTGATAGCTGTGGTTCAATACACACATAATACGCACATTGTGTTATTCACTAACATTTCATTTATTCCATAGTACTATGTCGATAGTATGCCACCTTGCTAAATTTCAGATTTGCAACCTTAAAAGGAGGTAAGAAATGCACAGCATTTTATTGACCAAGTATACTGACATAAGTAACACTTAGAAATGTAAAAACTTAGTTTATATAGCAACTCATTTTCATTGGTAATTGGGTTGGTTTGTGTGTTTAATTTCACTTCTTACCCCTAAAAATAATATAGTACTAATTTCCCTAGCTGATAGTAGTATTAGTAGTAGTAACAGTAGCATCAGCAGCGGTGGCGGTGGCGGATTTCCTTGCTTCTTCATTGCAAGTCTTTAAAAAACTAACTGGAATATCCAGTGTGATTGTTTGTTGTATTTTCTTTTTTTGTATAACATATTGCATAGTGATACTTGGTGGTTTTCTTTGTGTCATTTTTTCCTCTCTCCCAATTATTATCCTTGAATGTATAATTTTAAATTTTTACAGTGGGATTCTCGAGATTAAGTCTGGTACGCCTTTAAGAAAACTATTTGCATCAGTCACGAAATCTGTGTCTGGGTAATTTACTGCTTGATATCTCTCCTCCTTTCGTGGTGTGAAAGTGGTTGGTGTGTGCGTGTGTGTGTGTGTGACGTGTTCTGCTTTATTAACTAGCTAACTAACTAACTAACTAACCATGTTTGTGTGTACCGCCTTAATCCTTTCAAATGGATATACATATGGGAATGCCTTTCTCTTGTTATTATTATTATTATAGTTATTCTTAAAATGTATGATATACCAATTTACCATTTGAGAAATTATGTTGACTTTTGACCTGCATGCTACTTTTCATCTCCTAATTTTGAAAAAATCTATATTTTATTGTAATTTCTCAACATTAGTTTGGTATTGAATTGGTGTGTGTGTGTGTGTCATAGTTTTGCTTGATATGATGATACCCTTTCTTCTTTCCTTTTTTTTAATGTGCGAAAGAAAAGAGAACATTGACGTTCTCTATGACCACCCCCTTCCTCCTCCCGCCACATTTAGAGTGTGCTAACCTGCTTTGATTAAAAAGAATATTGTTATTTAACATAGCATGATTAGAAACTCGTGTGTTAAATTAATTCATAACAGATGTGTTCTCTTTATGTTATATGATGTACAAATAATTATCCTTTGATTTTATTTGTTTCGATGTACTGATTATTCCTGTTTTTTTTTGCTTGTGAAGTTATTCGCTTATATATGTATCCATATTTGTGTTTTCTACCTGTCCTTGTGCTTAAGTATCTAATCAAGACTTAAGCGGTTCGCATTATTTAACTTCCTAAATAATCATACATTACCTAATGAGGTGTGCGTCGGTGGCATAGCGGTTGGGACGCTCGCCGACCATGCATTTGGTCCGGGGTTCGATCCCCGGCCGGCGCACTCCTTTACCTCACTAAGCCAGAAATAAAGCTGGTGAAGAGGTAAGGTTGGGCATGAGGCTAGCAACCCCATCCTGTAAAAATACAAAGTGCTACAGAAACTTCAATCCACTAGCTTGAAGCCCTATGTTCCACTGGGAACGTGATGGAATAAAAAAAACCTAATGAGGTCTTGACTGTCATGAGAATAGTTTGAAATGACCATTTAATTGTTTAGATGATATGATGTGTATATATGGTAAGGAAGGGTGCGTCGGTAGCACAGTGGTAGAGTGCTCGCCGACCACGCAGGTGGTCCGGGGTTCAAGCCCCGGCCACTGAACGCACTCCTTTACCTCACTAAGCCAGTAGTAAGATTGGTAAAGAGGGGAAAGGTTAGGCGCATGAGGCTAGCAACCTTATCCTGTAGAAATAATCACCACTGCTATAGAAACTTGAAGCCCTCTGTTCCACTGGGAACGTAAAGGAATGGAGAAAAAATGGTAAGGGGAGGGTAAATCAACCGAAGAGGTTGTAAAAGTGAATTGATTGAGATGACTACTAGGACATATGCGTTGCCGATGTCAAGCCATTACTTTCGTCGATGGGTAATGTTAGCTGACATAGTATTGCGTTGACAGTTAGTGTAAGCCACCTGGGGAGGTGTAGACCGCTTAGCTAGCTAACTGGGGTCCTAGAAATGCTAAGAATCAATAATGGCTGGAGACTATTTGAGATACGTCTTAAAATACTTCTTATACTGGTACAAATACAATCACTCTTTGTGATCCCATATATCCCATTTAACCCTAATGTTTCGCCGTGTTAATCTTCTCTCTCTGTCCATCATATTTTTGAATGCCTTTTTCCTCTTTTTTTGTGTCACATGGAATGAATGTGGTAACAACTTGAACTGGTGCATTTATATGCTAATGTTCTATGTGCTGAAAGTTTGTCAGTCGGTCAGTCAGATGGTTTATATAGCAATAATTATTTACTGGTTGGGTTGGTGGGATATGCTTGGTTGCTTTGTATTTTATCTTTTTATAGCTTGAATATACCTCGGGGACTGTCTAGAGAAAACCACAGTGTGTAATGTTATGTATCAGACTGTTATTCTTTACAAGTGTAATTCAGTTTTCCGTTTGGCCTTACATTAATAGTGTTGGTGCAATAATGATAACAAAATACAATGTCATTTGTTGAATGTTCCCCTTTTTTGTTTCTTTTCTGTTGTACTTCTAGACAGTACCAAGAATATACACCGATTATTTATGCTCCTGTTTCAAGTGGACAAACTTATTATCAAACAGCTAATGGACAAGTTCGTCTATAACATTTATTATTTTGTTTATTTTATTGAAAAGTCGTTCCAAGTGGGGTATAAGGCTTCAAACTTTGAGGTCTCAGTAGCCCCCGAGAGGAGGGGGTGTTGTTTGTTGTCTGTCTTACAAAGTGGAGTTGCTAGTCTCAATGCCAACCTTCCCTCTTTTCTAGACTTTACTCCCTCTGAGTAAACTAGTCGATGTTTAGGAGTGTATTGTGGCTGTTGAGCACTTTGTCAATAAAGCACAGACGTGCACACATTAAAGTTACATAGTCTCATATATTAATTTGCAGTCATTAGTAAAGTTTTATTTGCATTCTCCTTCTAGTTGTCTCTTCCAATGATACCAAATCATATAATAAGTAGTCATAGAAAGTGTTAAACGCCTTGGAATAGGTTAAATTCATCAAGTCGTGTACTGGTACATTAAACTTCAGGTAACTTTGAATACTGATGGCGCGAGAAGTTAAAAAGTACGGGGAATTACACTCCTGTCCGTTATGTAAATTGTAGTATATATTTTGAAACCCTGAGATTCTTGACTTAAGTTGCTCATACGGCCGAAGGTGATCACTGCCCCGAAGATTCGCATACTAGGGGGAAAGATCTATCCATTGATGCTTGGTATTTTTCATCGAATATAGGTTTCTGATGAAGCCTGCTTTAAATTAAAATTTCGAAGTTTCATTACATAATTTATGACTGAAGAGAGCCTAATGGTAACATGTGTAATATATATTTTTTTATTATAGCTTGAAACCACACAGTATTTTTGGTACAAGTATGGAATTTTCAGCATGTGATATCGGTAGCCCGAATTTCTCAGGCCGACCACTGATATCGGGTGTGCGCCGGCAGGGGATCTAACCCTGGACCATGTGCATGGTCGGCGAGAGTCCTAACCGCTGTGCCACCGACGCACATTAGTGTACTAGTTTTAAGATGTCTAGCCCAACTGGCTTGTGCACACAACCTTCAGTCAGTGGACTCTGGGCTCGAGTTCTGGGAGGTTATATAAGTGATAACACGAGCCCTCACTCACAGTAAATGTGTCTTATAGCCTGAAACATGAAAGACCTGTCCCGGGAACTAAGTTCAAGCAAATAGAACTAGTTTAGTGTGAATTGCCATTTCAAAGTAAAATGTATTGCTTAGTTCAGGTTGCTTTTAGAATTAACAACTCACTAAGCGATTACTTTTTTTTTCTATTATTACTATCCAGGTTTTAGCTACGGCTTTTGGTTCTACTGTGACAGCTGGGCAAGCTGGTAGCAGTCTTCATGCAGCTGCTGCACATACAAATTTAGGCGCTGGACATGCTCAATTAGTTACTCATCAAGGTGCTACATATCTAGTCCAAGGCGCTCAACTAGACGATGATCCATCAGCTATTTCACATACAGCAAAAGCTAGTCCCGTCACTGTAAGTTTGTTTTCCTTGTTAATATATGTGTAAAACCTGGGCACTGTGGGTAGTATATAATTCTATATTAGTTTGTTTATTGGATATATTGTTGAGTGTTGTTTTACGGGTATTTAGTTGGTTACAGCGTTTATCATGGGCTGACATTGGAAAACCAGGGAGTACTGGACATCCGTTTCGTCAGCCTAGTTTGGGACTCTTCATCATTACGTACCCAAGTCGGCTCGTGATCAATCCTGTAGTTAATCGAATCGCTGCAAATCAACACTTGCTAATCAATCTGGTGCCCACTGGAGAGTGGCCTTTTATAGGAAGTTGTTTGGGGTTGTAGTGAGAAGTCGTGACCAGCAGGGTCCACCAAGTCAGGCAAGAGGACAATTATTCGCTTGTGAAACTGACTGGTGGTTGAGCTTTACATCACGAATCGTCAGAACTTGCAGTTCACGGACCATGGGGTCGGGTCTCAGTGGCTGAATGGTCGATGAGCTCGCCTCGTGGCCGGAAGGTCCGGGGTTCAAACTCCGGTGGGTGTGTACTATTGAAGAGTCCCAAGCCAGGCTGACGAAACAGGTGTCCAGTACGCCTAGATTGACATTATCGCCAGGTGTAATTATACAACTTCGAAAATTGAATTTTATCGTTCTGTTTATTTCTTTCCATTTGTCGTAGGGTTAGTAGAATTTTTTGTAGGACAAGCATTGAATCATTCCCACTGTACATATTCTCAGTTGATTCGATGAAATAGAGCTTCCACTATCCTGTGGATCCCATTTAACCAAATCAGTTTTTGTTAGTCTATTACCCTACGATGATGATTGTCAGGTGTCAGGTGCAATACACAGGTCAAAGTTTTTAGGATAGACATTCAGTCAGACTAGTGCAGTACGAAAATCAAGCAAAATCTAGATTATTTGACCCTAACAAATCTAGAAAACAGATTAGCTACGGCACTATGTGCAATTGTATGTACACAACGACACACTAGGATGGGATAAAATGACTGTTCTAAAATATAATATAATAGGTTTGAAGGAGAGATTAATAATGTAGGCCTTATTTATCGAGTTAACTAAGAATACGTGCAATAGAAGTGATTCAACATCTGTCTACTTGGACATCTGGGAAACCGTACTGCCCCTATGACTAATAGGAAGGAATAAAGTGAACTATAAAACGAAAGTTTTGAAGTTGTGTAGTTACAACTGATAGGATTATGAATGATTAATTGTGTTTGATATGTCATCTAGTAAATAATACTGTTTTTTCTTTGTTTTCACCTGTTATGCTAAATAGCTAAAGCTAAAGCTAAAGCTTATGAGTATACATACGTACATCATATAGGTTAGACAAATAAAAACGTATCACTGTAGTTTGTTCATATAACGGTGGCCTGCTTAAATCATTTGGCTACCATAGTTTCCATCCACCAACTTGCTTAAAATCTTCAGCATTTCTTGTTGTTTTAGTCATACCACTATATCAAATGATCACGCATCTGTTAATTATTGTTATTTCCTTGGGTTCCGAGTGGAACATTGGGCTTTAAAAAGACACCTACACTTTGTTCTGTTCTCTTCTGTCCTCTTCAGCTGAGGTCGAGATTGCCCATAATCTCTCGTCTCCTCCTCCCCAACACACGATCTCCTCCATATCATCCTCGCACTAAAGACCCACTGGTCGCTTGCATTTAGATACCACTCGAGCTCTGGCCTGCATTGCGTGCGATGTCATTCGACGGCCTCCTCAACGTATGCCCCATCAATCCATCTCCATTTCCTCCTACATATTTGTTGAGCGATCGGCTCTTGGCTGGTTTGTTTCCAGCCAGAGTTTCTTGTTGCTTTTTCTTTCTGGTCATTTGATCTTCAGTATGGAGGCGGCAAAGACAGCTGTTGATAAAAGTCTATGACTTGTTGCAAATCCTCTTCGTGACACGCAGTGCAAGTTTTTGACCGGTATCTAAGAACTGACTGACTTCACATTTGTGTTGAACGCCCACTTTATTTAATTAGCTTCCAAAGAAACGCTGTGCAATTCATGAAGTAAATGAAGAGGAAAAACTTACGGAATTGGTTCTCTCTTCACATGCAGCAACACTATGTCACATGATATATTTCAGGTTATTATTAGATGGTTGGAGGCAATCTGCAGGAAGCATTGCTTGAACTAGGTTTCGTGCTAGTTGGCACTCATCAGGAAGGCGTATCTGCAACCTTGAAGGGACTCATGTCCCTTCTGAGATTCGTACCCGCGTCACCCAGTGCTGCAGTCAGAGACACTACCACTGAACTATTCAGGCTCTGACTGCAGCACTGGGTGACGCGGGTACGAATCTCAGAAGGGACATGAGTCCCTTCAAGGTTGCAGATACGCCTTCCTGATGAGTGCCAACTAGCACGAAACCTAGTTCAAGCAAGGCTTCCTGCCGATTGCCTCCAACCATCTAATACGAACAGTTCACAGTGCACCGTAATGGCGAACCACCTAGCATGGTGGCCACATTGCAAACATGACTAATAGAATTCAGTCTGCACTGAAAATAGGACTAGACACATTACACTAGTTACTGACTAGTGTGCAATCAAAAATATATTTCAGGTTATTACTTTACATGTAAATCCTGTATGAAGAGGAGATGTTTTGAAACGCTGAAAATTTCTGTACTATGTGTTCACATACTGTCTGAAATAAAGCTTTATTGTTATTATTATTTATGTAGATTATTACTGATTATTATTTCATTTAAAATTTTTTCCGTAGGTTCAATGGCTTGTTGATAACTATGAAACAGCGGAAGGTGTTAGCCTGCCACGTAGTACCCTATACTTTCATTATCTTCATCATTGTAATGAACACAAGCTGGAACCAATGAATCCAGCATCATTTGGTAAACTGATACGTTCAGTATTTTATGGTCTGCGTACACGACGTCTTGGTACGCGTGGAAATTCTAAATATCATTATTATGGGATACGTATTAAACCGAATTCACCATTGAATCATTTTGTCGAGGATGCCGGCTTCTCACTTCGACATTATCCAAATTATCATCGTCAAACAATGGAAGCTGCAGCTGAATGGAAATATTTCAATAGTAATAATACTAATAATAATACTAATAGTAATAGTAATAGTAGTGGTAATTCAACGTTGAATCGTTTAAAATCATTAAATACTACTGGGAATGGAATTAACAGTAATAGTAGTAGTAGTGGTTCTGGTTTAGGCAGTACTATTGGATTAAACAATTCAAACAACAATAGTGCAAATATTCATTCCACATCACTTACTAATAATTATTCTCAACTATCATCATCACATCATACACCTGGCGTGTTACGTCCGGATAAATGCTTGACAAATAATTCTTATAGTAGTAGTAATAATAGTAATAATAATCAAAGTGGAAATGCTATCTCAATTTCTGGTAATCAGAGAATTGAAAGTATAGCAAACAATTCATCATTATCTAGTCCTTTATTACTTTCTACCAGTCAACATCATGCACAATTCCTTGGTGAAGCTAGTTCTGCATTGCCGAATTTAGATGAAATTTGTCGATCATCTGGTCTCCCGGTGCCTAGTGAAGGTAAGAATCTTGATTTTAGTATAATATTTAATGTTGTATGTGTGTTGTAGGATTCATACATTCTATAGGTTACTTCATTGCTATTGAGATCTAAGCCTTGTTTGAAGGCCTGTAAACAATTAATACTTCATTCATGTTTCTTCTTTGTGTTCTGAGAGGAAAATACGGTTTCAAGCTTTGAGCTTTCATTAGCAATGGTGTTGTTTGTCATACAGAGTAGTGGGGTTACCAGCCTCACACCCAAGCATTACTCTTTCCCTGGCTTACGATGGCTTAGTAGACTAGGTGAGGTTTAAGAGTACATCCTCCGGGAATCGAACCCCCAAGAGTAAGCGACTATTGAATCACCGAGGCAACTTCTTCATTCCTAAACATTGGTGTTTGCTTGTTATACGTGAAAAAAAGTTGGTTCTGTGTGAGACTGCATAGGCTCAGAGATATCTGTTTGACCGGTAATCCTTTGCAATTGATTTAACATTTAACCTGAGACCGAGCACTTCGGTCCAATCAATCGACGGGAAAATCTAAAATTCAATTAAATAATTAATATGACCTGTTGCACAAGAGGTGGTTCTCGTGGCCCAAATGGTCTAGTGGATAACGCTTTGGCGTTTGAAACTATGGGCACTGGGTTCCAGCCTTGGTGGGAACACTATCACTCACACTGGGGAATGCAGGCACATCCAACTGACCAACGAGTCCCAAATAGGATGAAATGCGCATCCTGGATTCCACTGCTAGTCACCATCCACCAATTAAATTCTAATTACATGCCCAGACATCGTCGAAGCATCTGTACAAGAAGCCGACATGTCAACTTGAGACCGAGCACTTCGATCCAATCAATCGACGGGAAAATCTAAAATTCAATTAAATAATTAATAGGATTTATTGAGTTGTGTCCGTACAATGAGAAGTAACCGTAGGAATATTTAGGAGCCATCTTCATTGTATTCCCTTTCCACAAAGATGGAGGAAACCACAGACAGGCTGGATTGCTTATAGTTCAAACTCAATTCTAGTAACATACGTACTTATTATACATCGAATTTATTAAAATTTCATTGAATTTTAGTTGGGTTTTTTATATTTATTTTGCTTACTTCAATATAATTTCTGTAATAGCACTGTAAAATTTGGTTGCTTAAAGGATAGTTCTAGGCCACAATTGGGTTTCCTAGTATCTTGAAACAATTCAAGTATTGGTTTGTAGGGATTTGGTTGATTGGTTACAGGATTTCATCATGTGCTGACATTGGTTAGAGAACCATTGGAAAACCTGGGAGTACTGGACAGCTGTTTCGTCAACCTAGTTTGGGACTCTTCAGCAGTACTCACCGACCGGAGTTCGAAGACATTGGCTAGCGGTTGCGCTGTATCGTGAATTGGCAGAAGTTAGAATCCATGGGTCGGTCATTGGATCGGGTCCCAGTGGCTTAATGGTCTACGGGTTAGCTCGCCTTGTAACCAGAATGTCCTGGGTTCGAACCTTGGTGGTGGGTGCATACTGTCGAAGAGTCCCAAACCAGGACTAAACAGCTGTTCAGTACTCCCTGGTAGTTTTCCAACGGTTCTTTAACCAATGTCAGCTCATGATGAAATCCTGTAACCTATCTTGAAACAGTTAGTCTCTTTGGTAAATTTAAATAAGGCATTCAAAAGACAAATATTATTGCGAGATGATATAATCATTTTGTAGTTTCATCACAATCACGTTACACATGGCAGCATAGTTGACGATAATAAAATAAAATAGTTGTTATTAGATGGTTTGAGGCAATCAGCAGAATGGTTTGCATCTAAGTTTTGTGCTTCTTGGCACTCGTTAGCAAGGCGTATCTGCAACCTTGAAGGAACTTGTGTCCCCTCTGAGATTCGAATCCTTGTCACCCAATGCTGCAGTCAGAGAGATGTTACCACTGAGCTATTCAGGCTCGCGGATTGTATTGTATACTTTGATTGAACGCCAGGTAGTAAGTAGGTAACTAGTGTCACGCTTGTAGTCCTTTTTGTTTAATGCAGATACGCCTTGCTGACAAGTGCTAGCATGCTCGAAACCTAGATCAAGCAAGGCTTCCTGTCGATTGCCTCGTACCATCTAATTACAACAATTCAAAGTGTACTGTGATGGCGAGTCACCTAGTGACCTTGACTGTGAGATAGAATTCAATCTGCACCAAACAAAGGACTCTAGACGCATGACACTAGTTACTTATTACCTAGTCTTCAATCAAAGTAAGTAAAATGTTTGAGAATTAAATAGTTTTAATAAAGTAAAAAGTGATATTAGATAACCAATAGTATTTCGATAAGTCAAGTATTTCAGCTTAGGCATATGTGGAAAAGTCTATTGCATTTTTTGAAATATGATTAATTATAATTATGTACTTTTAATTTATACAGTAAATTATTTGTCAAACTTATTTTTATTATTGTCAAATATGCTAGTGGTAACGCGATTGTAAAGAAACTACTTGATGATATCATCTCACAGTATTTGTCTGCTGAATATCTTGTGTTGTACAGTACTACAGTATCTTTTGTGCTTAGGAGAATTATCAAGCCAAGTCTTATACACAGAAAATATATCTGCCTTTAAGGTTTTACGATCGTTTTTGTTTCTGGTTATCCGTACACACATGATCTGTCTTCGAATCTTGCTCTATTGAGATCTATGTTTTTGTTTCAGCTTGAATAATTACTTACCATCTGACGATTACATGTGTTAAGTATTTTTCCCACTGTTTGCGCTCAGAGTGGAATAATGACCTTCAAGCTTTTTCTGATGTTTCAGTACCGCTGGCTGGTGTTGTTTTTTATGGCGGGGGGGGGGTGGTGAGTGGTTTTGTTACCTTCATGCCCACCTTTTGTTCTGCTCCAGGCTTCACTACTGGCTGGGAGTGTTGAACGTGGACCTCCAGCTCAATTGGCGAACATTCTACCACTGTGAACTACCGATGCACACACACACACATCTTTTTAAGGTGTTCACATTCAAGGTGACATCATGTTTTTCAAGTTAATAATTCTTTCTTTTACACATTTCGATAAGTATTTCTCTCTCTCTCTCTTGTTTTTGTTTGTTTTACAGTTGATTTAACCTCAGATGATAGTCCTTCAGGTAAAGGTGGTGGTCGTTTAAAAATTGAACCATCCTCATCACCCCCATCGTCATCATCATCATCATCAGCTACAAACTCATTTAATGAAGATGTTATTACATTCTGTCGTCTTTATGCTCTTTCTGCTGGTTATATGTTAGATGCTGTTGTAAACTTAGACTTTACTGCTATTGAAACAGTATGGAAAGCTTTTTGGTGCAGAGAAGAAGTACGAGTAAGTCTATAGATAGATGATGGTTGTAATTTTCATTTGTTTTTTCCCTCCTGCGTTGGTGGAACAACGGTTAGGACTCTCACCGACCATGCACATGGTCCGGGGTTTGATCCCCGGCCACCCACGCACACCCGATATCTTTGGTGTCGGCCTGCAAAATTTGGGCTACCGATATCACATGCTGAAAATTCCATACTTGTACCAAAAAGACTGTGTGGTTTCAAGGTATAACCAAAATAAATAAATAAAAAGAAAACCAAACCAAAAAAACAATTACTAAGACAGCAGATTAAAAAAATACTATTAATTTCTCAGGGTTGAATCGATTTACGGACACATCATTGATAAGCTTGACTGGAAACGAGTGAATCAGCTATTTTCTATTTATGTATTTGATGATTGCAGGTCAAGTGAGTGACAGGATTTGTAGCAGCACTAGTCTCTGGGAAATAATAATAATCCCCCGGTGTTCTACCAGCTACGAGACGCGACTGATGATATTAATTACTACAGGTAATGCCCGGCTGTTATGTAAATCAATGGTGCATTACTTGTCCTACGTTAGTCCTACTCATATTGAATGAGAATAAGAGTATCAGATTGTTAATTGACGACGAGATTATCTGAGATTTTTTTAACTGTCTTTTAATACTAGGTATCTGATTGGTTGTTAAGAGTAGAGTGCACCACACAACATCATTGTATGCTGTCTTACTCACTCTATAGTTGTCATACATCATTAAATGGTTATCTTAAACTGTTTGAGGTGTTTGTGTTCATTTTTTTAAAATGCAAAATGTAACCATCATATTAGCTAGGGAGATATTAAGCGTGTAAAACTTTAAGCAAAAGGAAATCAGTTTATTCGATTGTCAACGTTCATCGGTCGCAAGGTAAATTATCCTTCCTATATGTCTAGCTTACAAGATGATCAGGTGGAAGGCCTACAAAGATCAATCTAACACAAGGTAAATTGGAATGAACAGTTTGACAAACTATCAGTTTTATCCCAATCTCTTGCGACGAGAATTTACTTCATATGCAGGCGGAGATGCGTTGAATAAGGAATTGCAATCTCTCAGAAAAAATCTAATCGAAACAGATATCCAAACTTCTTCATCGATAAACATCTAAAGAGAAAAATCGATACTCCTTGAAACGTGGATGTGCCAAAGAAACAAATCTGAAATATAAGGGCGATACAATTAGTGAGGTTCTCCTAAGACTCCTGTCAAGAATGATTCGACGAACATTCTTTGCTGCATCTGTATGCTTCACGTTCTCTACACATGCTTTTATTCACCAAGACGTCAAAGACAGGATCCCGCTATTGGCAACTTGAGTGTGGACATTGTCTAGACGTGGACATGAACACTTACCAGCATTGTCGTCAAAAGGAAAACGTAGAATAGTCAACAGCCCAATTCAGGTCATGGAGCATCAGCAGAGACTTTCAGAGTCATAAATCAAGTACGATCAAGTCGTTCGGAAGGATTTCACCTACATCTACTTCATGCAGCTGTGAAGTCGTAGTGATCCTTAAGGATAAACCTGAACTTTGTATTCAGAGACGTTTCATCCAGCCCCTTTTATTACCATGGCCTTGGTAGTATTTTTTCTTTTTTCTCTGTCTTCCAGAATAACAGTTTAATAGGCTCTATGTAGTTCGTTTTCCTTTTCTTTTCAGTTTTGTTCATCTTTTGTTCTCTTGTCTCATCAACTATTTCCAAACGATTATTCATCACTAAACTAATTATTTTTTAAACCCTCTTGATTACCTAAGACCATTCTTAATTCTTCACACATAGTTATTACTCATGCACTCTGATTTGCTTTTCTACTGGCTGACAGTAATAACCTTTGACCTCAGTTATCAATCTATGTTGCAAATATAAGCACCCTAAATAAATGTACAGCTTTAAAGTGAAGTTACGAAAAGTGCGAGTCTCTTTTATCTGAGATTTAGCTGTCTCTTTTTTAATTAGGTATCTGGTTGGTTACTAAGAGTATAGCGCACCACATAATACCGCTTACCAAATACTCGCTGATCAGATTGGCTAGTTGTAGCGTTAAATAGTAAATTAGCTGAAGTTGGAATTCATGGACCATTGGATCGGGTCCCAGTGGCTTGGTGGTCTACGAGCTCGCTTCGTAACCGGAAGGTGCTGGGTTCGGATCCTATTGATGTGTGCGTACTGATGAAAAGTCCCAAACTAAGCTGACGAAACAGCTGTCCAGAACTCCCTGCAGGCTTGCCAGTGGTTCTCTAACCGATATCAGCTCATGATGAAATCCTGTAACCAATTGAATCTCTGAAAGCCGACATTTGAAAATTAGATCAGCTTATTAGATTGTCAACAGTCGGCTGGTTTGCAATCGCTGAGGTGAAAGTAACCTCATTATCTTTCTAAAATCGTCTTATAAATGATCACCTTGTGTACGTGTTATGATTGATTCTCTATATTTTTCATTTTTATTCTTTATTTTAGGATTCTCGTTTAAAACAAAGTTTATCTCAGGAACGCTTATGTTCACTTGTATCAGATCCGGCTATTTTACAATTTGTTCGACTTTATGATCATACTTTCTATCAATCATTGGCTGAAGTTTTAATTCCAAATGTACTTCGACCTATTCCACCAACTTTAACACAAGCAATTCGTAATTTTGCTAAATCTCTTGAAGTATGTTTAATTTTTATTTTATAATTTTTGCTTATATGTTTAATTAACACAAGAAAGTTTGGTAAGAGTAATAGAGAAGATTTGTAGCGCAGGTGGATGATTTCGAATTAGTTGTGTTCTCTGAGGAGCTGGTTTGTTTAATTGTGAAGCTTTCGTCGTCCCTCTGGACAACATCTCCAGCGCAATTTTTAGCATAAAAATTTTCCATGAGTGATAGAATTGCGTCCCTTAGCAACCATCTTCGTAACTGGTAGTCGATTTACATTTGTATTGATCATTTTTTATTGATTTGGAATTTGAACTTTCTTGTCACGTGGTTTACTTTTTATTAACTGGTAAATTTGGTCTATAGAGGTAGTGTGTTTGTTAATCGCTGACTGATTCACTTGAGTACCATGCTTCTAGGAATTCTCTGACACTTTCGGTGTTTCCTGTGTTTAAAATTTCGACATTATCCCACTCATCAAATTGGTGTCCATAATTATTCACATGCATTGATATGAAAGAATGCATATTTGTGTTCTTGTATTCTGATTCAAAGGAGACGCCCACTTTGACCGATATAATATTTAATTGCAGTTCATACGATTTATTTTGTAAATGGTATTAATTTTATCGTCTTTTTCTGTTGGACAATATCGAATGGAGTGATTGTGCTGGCTGGCTGGCCGGCTTGTGTGCTTCATCTATTTCAAACGGTTTTAATATTCTAGCTGTTATTTCAGAGATATTTTTTATACATAGTAGGATGAATTTTCTTGTAGTCTTTGATGATGGCTTGTTGTTGGTGTTGTGACTCGATTTCTAAACACTTTTTGATGGAATTGTAGGATGTGCATTCTCTTCAACATCAGAGTAGTACTACAGTATGTTTGAACTCTTTTAAACAATGTCTGCAGAGAGTTTCTTTTGTGGGTAACTAATTGGATTATTACTACTATAGTTGAGCAGTTGTTAATAGTCATGATAAAACATTAGAGCAACTTTACACGTAATAATTTCAAAAGTTCACCTTTTATTTTCACTCAATATTCCAATTGTGTTTGATACCTCTTCAAGGTTGTCTAAGTTTTGAGTACACCTAATAATAGGCTTACTTTACTACCACTGATAAGCCTGGCACGAAGCGATTTGTAAGCGATACGTGTTTGATGTGAGTGGTTTCCAGCTACTTATATGGATCGAGTAGTGTAGTATTGTAACGACAGAAGACAAGGGCCACGCAACAGATTGTTTATTGAGAAAATCAACAGGTATTTATAGATTTTTATGTACATTATTGTTAGCGGAGAAGCAACCTCTTCTGATTAGTTTTTTTCTTCCTGAAGACTATTCTGTATCTCTTGCGGTCATTTCTCAGAAAATCAAGTCATATATCTGCAAATCATATTTCCACACGTTAACTCCGCTGTGATTGGCTGGTGATTTTCTCAAGGTTACGCCTTGTTATTGTTTTTTTCTCATGACCCTAATTCGGGACGTGAATACTGATGTAAATTGTTGTCTACAATTTTGGCTTGCAGCCAGCTCTCAACACAGTATTATGTCATCTTCATTTATTAGAGGTGATTAATGTAATGTGAACAATCATTCAGGAATGTTAGAAATTCATATACTACTTTCAGAGAAACAAACTTAGTGTAAGTAACGTTAAAACGTAAAAGTGTGATTTAGTCGATTGACGGTCTATCAGTTTATAATTGTTAGCTGAAAATTCATTCATTAGTCTCAATGTAGAATTGTGCACAGAAGGGCATCAGTTCATGCTGTCACACTTTGGGAAAGCAAATAAAAAAAGTTAGAGTAATATGCTTTTGTTATTATAATACACTTTCTCGACCTTCCTCTCACAGTCTGGTACTCTACTTCTCAGTTGGTAGAATTGAAGGCCTCCTTCATCTCGAGAAATGTAGTAGGTGTTGGATATTAGTGTATATCCCTCTTTCAGAACCTGTAAAATAGCATCAACTGTCTTTCTGTCTGGATTCAACATAGAACTTGGCACCGAAGTGCAGCAGTTCGAGTTGCCACGTTCCAAATAGCACACAAAGGTAGACAAGAAAATGAGTGAAGAGAATCAATAGAGTTTTGACAAGTATAAGAGTGAAACAGAATGAGTAATGGTAGAAAGGAATATGAAAGATTACAGAGACTGAATACATCTGCGTAAGCCATTGACAACGATTTTGAGCCATGTCACCTATTGTCTCCAGCCATTGATTCTTAGAGTCCCGAGGGCCCCAACCCGGAAGTCTGCATCTCCCTACCTGACTCAGTTTAACTGTCAAGGATTTCATGGATTGATGCCATGTTTTTGTTTGGTCACCACTTACTCTTTTCTCCAACCTGCACCTATATCAGCTAGTAATGCCCGTCGGGGTAGGCGATGGTTAGGCATGCGCAGCACGTGACCTAGCCATCTCAATCTATGTAACTTTATAGCCTCTTCGATTGATTTTCCCTCTTTGCCCAACACTCTACGCCTAACGTCAACATTACTTACTTTATTATGCCACCTAACGTGAGAAAGAGATCGTAGACATCTATGATCAAAAACAGTCAACCTTTTCATGTCTTCAACTCGTATTGGCCATGTTTCAGAGCCATAGAGGAGGACGGAGCGAACTGCTGAGCAGTACACACGTCCCTTGGTTGATAGCCGGATGTCACGCCTACGCCAGAGACGGTGTAAGTTAGCGAAAACAGCCCGAGCTTTTTGGATCCGTGCTGAGATTTCGTCACCAATCAATCCGTTGGTGCTGATACAACTTCCCAAATAGGTGAAGTGGTCAACATGTTCTATCACTTCACTCCCTATCACTAAGCTAGGAGTTGACGTAGTCCAGTCCTGTAGCAGCATCTTACATTTTACAGGGGCGAATCGCATGCCAAACATACGAAGATTGCTGCTCAAGGTGTTCAGAAGACTCTGGATTTTGTCAGCATCCTCCCCTAACAGGACTATGTCATCTGTTTATTTCAAGTCCATAAGACTATTCCCTGGTAACAAGTCGATTCCTAAGTCGTTAAGTTCAGTTAAGGATACTTCCATTAGCATATCTGTGATGAAGTTAAACAGGAATGGGGAAAGTGGACATCCCTGACGAACACCACTGGTTGTTATCAATTCAGAATTAGTATCAACAGCCTTTACATAGTTAGTGTATTTTAATGCTTTGTGCGTTACATTAAGGGTTTATTTTTCATAAGTTGACGCCATTATGAATAGTTTCCATATAAAAATAGCATGTGCACACGTATAGTAGTTTTTAAAAAGCCTCATTGTTAGCAGTCTGAAAGTAATCATAGTTTATTCTATGACTGTAAAAACACTTGGTTTACATCTCTAATAGACCTTTATTAAGATTTGGGTGTAGTATGCTTTTTAGAATGACTGCTGTTTCAACTTATTTCTTGTCCTGGGCTTTTTCTCCCTCGATTATTCGATTTCCAGTGTTATCGCTAACTACACAATTTGTTCAAAAACTACTTTGTACTATTATTATTATTACTCCATTGGGTTCCGAGTGGAATATAGGGCTTCAACAGCACGTCTCCACTTTTTTCTATTCTCTGCAGTCTTCTTCAGCTGGCTCCACGATTCCCCATAAGCTTTTATCTCCTCCGTGCATGATCTGTATATCATCCTCGGAGTCACTCCAAACTCGTCGTTTCCCACTTGGGTTCGACCCTAGCAACGGTCTGGCGCGCGATGTCATCCAACGGTCTCCTCAGCGTCTATCTGATCTATCTCCATTTTCTTCGGGATATTTGTTGCGGAATGGGTTCTTGATTGGTTTATTCCCAGAGTTTCTTGTCGCTAATTCTTTTCGGCCATCTGAGTAAAGTCAGCTGTTGACGAAAGTCTGCAGTGGCCTGTTGGAAATGCTTTTCGTGACGCGCATTGTGAGTCTCTGACCCATGTAGGGAAAGTGACTGACTTGACATCGGTGTTGGAAATGCGGATTTTGATCTTTATGGTGAGTGCGGAGGATTCGCAAACTGATTTCATAGTGATAAAAGTCAGTCTTCCTTTTCCGATTCTCGTTTCGACATCTTCATCCATTCCACGTGAAGTTGAAACGATGCTTCCTAGATAGGTGAAGGATGTAACTACTCTCAAATTTATTCCGTCAACAGTGATTGGTGCTTCTTCTCTATGTTTACTTGAAATCCAGTCTTTGCTTCCAGCCTCTTCTACTACCTTGTTGGTTTTCACCTGTAAGTCCTCGAGTTTATGTGACACTAAACATAAGTCACCCGCTAGATCTAAGTCTTCTAGAACCTTCGTATTGGTTCGACGTATTTCTGTCTTTTTGCCTCCCACGCACTGTGTTACGCATAATCCAGTTGTCCACAATTAGGAATATCATGGGGGATAATAGGAAGCCTTGCCTTACTTCTGTTGTCACTTCAAAGGTTTCTCTGATCTTTCCGTTGTTGATTACCTGACACTTATCATTGTCATATAGCTGTTGATTGAGGTAGATAGAGATTTGATGCACTGCACTCCATAGCGTTGAAGTAGTTCCAAATTACTTCTCGGTCAACTCTGTCGAAGGCTTTTCCGAAGTCGATAAATTTGAGGCAGAGACTTGACTGCCATTCTACACTCTGTCCCATGTTGATGCTTAGAATTGCAATTTTATGTTCAAATGATTTGCCCTGCCAGAAGCCAGATTGTTTTGGACGGAGAAGTGATTGAAATAATGGAGAAAATGAGTTATTTGTCTTGATGAGTAGAAAGGGAAGCTGTGATGTCTTGTCACTTTATTAACCGTATACTATATGTATTATTAGAAGGTAGTTTACCTTCTCTGTTTCTAATTTATCGAAATATTTTGTTTTTTCTCTATTTAGGGTTGGATGCGTCAAGCTACACTTGGTTTAGATTCAGCTCTTGTTGGCTTGAAAGTCTCTGCTGTTTCATCATTAGCACAAACTCTACGACGTTATACTAGTCTAAATCATTTAGCTCAAGCTGCACGAGCTGTTTTAAAAAATGCTAATCAAATTAATCAAATGTTAACCGATCTTAATCGTGTTGACTTTAATAATGTACAGGTGAGTGAGTGAGTGAGTGAGTGATTTACTCGGGTCAAATGTATCAGCCCTAAGTTGTTGTTTTTTTATTATGCTTTTAATTTTTCTTTCTACATTGTGATACTATAAAAAATGTGATGTCGTTTAAATTCTTTAAGAAGCTGAAACGCCCTTACTACTAATTAATTAATTAAATATCAAACTAGTTAATGGAGGAATAATCACTGGAAATTGTTCCTCTTGAAAGACATAAATAATAATAATAATAATCAAGATCACCATAGTTACACATACCGTTATTGTTTTAAATTCAACAACCTATTGTTTCATTATTTGAACAATTTTTCAACAGATTCTGCAATTATTTGCTGTTGAGTGTTGTAGGTTGGTTGTTGTTGTTGTTTTTGTTAAATTCAATTGGTAGGAATTGAGTTCTCATGTACTATAAAATACCTATGGGACAGACTAGTATTTTGTGTGACGACTAATGATACTACTGAATTCCCCAGGCTGAATTAGGTGGATAGATCGGCGTCCGAAATTGAGACTCACTGGTTGAAGCTAAGTGCTCATAACTAGCCACATAAATACTCATACATTTTAACAAGTATTGTGAATTTATTTTGACTGTCGACGGATATAAGGATTAGTTTGCTGTCGTTTTCGACAGAATACTTTAATCATTAAAGGAGACATTGGAGAGTCCATCAGTGACTAGCGAGAAATGTTTAGTTGTATGATGTTTAGAGACCAAGTGGTAAAACCTTTCCATCAGCTAGTATTCAAATGGTTTCAAGATATGAGAATACACCTGTCTGGACATAAATACTCCTAAGGCTTCTTAGAGCGTCGTAATATATACACCTGCATTATAGTGAATACAAATAATGATGGATGCAGTAGGTGTAACGGTAGAAGACAAGATACTTGGTAACGGGATGTTTATTTAGAATTTGATATCTCTATGTAGGCGAATTATTTACACCCTATGTGAAAATCGTCATTTGCACAGGTCTTTCGTGTCGTGCTACTTCTGCCCTGCGTATTGTCTTTCTTTGTCTTCTTTTCGTGTCTGCCATATTTTGCTGCGTTTGACATCAAATCTATCTCCCTGCTATTTGATATTTTTATGCCGATGAACGTCTCTTCATATACTACTGATAAATCTTGTCAGTAGTACATGCCAGATAGCTATTTAATTTTTGACCTTTTTATCGTCATTGCAAGCTTAACCACTTGTCATTTCAGTGTGCTGTCTGTCTGTTTTCAACATAGAACTTTGCACTGATGTGCAGCAGTTCAAGTCGCTACACTCCATGTAGCACACAAAACAAAAGAAGAAGAAGGAAGTAAAAAGAAACACAAAATATAAGGCAAAAAGAATAGTAATATCGAAGAAAAATATAGTTTTATTAGAAATTATAAGTCACAAGGAGTGGATGTACCTGCGCCAGCCATTGAGAACGATGAGTTTGAGACATATCACCAATTGTCTCCAACCGTTGGTTTTTACCATTCCCAGGACCCCAACCAGGAAGTCTACATCTTCGTACGTGACTGGCTTAAACTAACTGTTGTGGATTTCATCGACTGATGAGGCCGTATTTTGGTTTGACCACCACTAGCGCTTTTCCAGCCTGATCCAGTGTCAGCTAACATTGCCCATTGTCGAGGAAGGCGATGGCTAGGCATGCGTAACACATGTCCTAACCATCTCAGTTTATGTAACTTCACAGCCTCGTCGATTCACTTCACCTCCTTAACTATCACTGAACACCTAACCTAAATATTGCTTACCCTATTATACCACTTCACACGGGAGATAGAACACAGGCACCTATGGTCAAAGATAGCTAGTCTTTTCATGTCCTCCACTCTCAATGGCCAGGTCTCACAACCATAAAGGAGGACGGAGCGAACTGCTGAGCAGTACACTCGCCCGTTGGTCGATAGATGGATATCATGTCTACTAAGTCAGAGACGGCGTAAACTGGCATATGCGAAACTAGCCATCTGTATCCGTGCTGAGATTTCGTCGGAGATCAACCCATTGGGACTGATGGTACTTCCCGAGTAAGTGAAGCGGTCAACGTGCTCTACCACTTCACTCCCTATCTTTAAGCTTGGAGTCAATGTAGTCCAGTCCTGTAGCTTCATCTTACATTTGACAACAGGAGCTAATCGGATGCCACACATTCGAAGATTGCAACTCAAGGTGTTCTGAAAACTATGCATTTTGTCACCATCTTCACCTAGTAGGGAGGACTATATCATCTGCATAACAAGTCAATCGCTGAGTCATTTCAGCGTGCTATGCTAACTAAAGTAGAAACAGTGTGAAAGAAAATGTATAGTGAATAGATCAGAGCTTCATTGAATGTTTATCTGACCCATGTTGAAAAAATAGGCTATGTATTTGGTGCTCTATGTAAGTTTGGTTTCTTTAATAGAACACAAAGCAACTCGAATATCCGACTTTTCCCATTTACTACTAGATAGTGAGTCTTAATTGATATTTAGGGAAGAGGACGCTTATGAAATTACTCGGATGTTCAGATTTAACTTGGTACCTAGTGATCGGAGGCTTAGTGGATAAATACACCAATGAACTCCATTTCATGCCTCTAAATGTCATCATTGCTATATATGTAGGGATGCGTTGTTCATTCATGCAGTTGGTCAGTTTTCGATCAATGGGTTGCGGGTTCGAACTCTACTGTATGACAGTTTCACCGGTTCTTACAGGATATGAACGCTTCACTGTCTAATTGTATCCCAGTGTACTAAATCATAATACATACAGTTATCGATTGATTTCAACCATAGCAGTTTTGTTTATTGATTTTTCCCCTCTCTGTCTCCCTCCCACCCTAACAGGAACAAGCTTCATGGGTTTGTCAATGCAGTGATGCTACTGTAAGCCAATTAGAGCATGATTTCAAGAGAATATTACAAAAGCATGCCTCGTTAGAAGAATGGGCTCAATGGTTAGATACAGTAGTTACAAGTATTTTACAACCACTTGAAGGTAATAGTTTAGCTTATACTAAAGCTGCACATCAATTAGTCTTAAAATGGTCCTTTTACAGGTGAGTATTTCAATTAGGATAATATTTTTTTTCTTTAAATTTTTTTCATAAATTAGCAAATGTTATTTCATTGTTGTATATCTCCAATCTTTTCTTTTATCTATATTTTCACCAACTTGTTGGGACAGCATGACTAGTGTGTGACTGTTTATTTATTTTAGAAACAATATGGGATTAGATAAGAACTTTTTTTAAAAACAAGGGATTTTCAGAGCTGTCTAAAGACGCTTAAGTTGACAGTCAGTCGAGACTCGAAATATTAAGAATCAGTAACTCTTGTGGTTTGATATGGTGTTTGCATAATAGTTTACAGCCTATTATCACCTTGGAAATTTTAAACGTCACCAACGTTTAGACTATTCCTGTTTATGATTCCCCATTGGTGATGGTATATCAACCTTACTTTGGCATCTATGGACTCCTTGAACGCTTAGCATGATATTGTCAAGTGGTTGTCCAGTGCGGATAATGTTTTAGCGTTTGAAAATGATGGGTATCAGGTTTGAATTTCGGTGGGAAAACCATCACCTACTGCTGGAGAACAGGTACATCTAACTGAGAAGTCTCAAGACGGGAAAAACGTGTATTATGGATTTCACCGCTAACCACCACCTCCATCAAACAAGTAATCATCACTATTCTCTATTCAAAGTCTGATCACGGATTGATACCAGTTAAAGAGTCATTGAAAACCAGGGACAGTTGTTTCGTCGTTATTTGGGACTCATCTGCAGTACGCTTCGTCTAGGGGTTCGAACCAAGGACCTCCGGGTTACAAGGCAAGCTCGTTAGAAAATGGAATTCATGGTCCATTGAATCAGATCCCAGTGGCTGACTGGTTTACAAGCTTGCCTTGTGTAACCTGGAGGTCCTGGATTCGAGCCTTAGTTGGTGCGTGCTGAATGAGGAGTCCCAAATTGGGCTGATGAAACAGCTAGCTGTCCAGTACACCACCCGCTGGTTTTCAGTGGTTCCCTAACTGATATCAATCCGTGAATCAAAAACTTGAAACAAATCAAATCCCCCTGCAAGCTAACTCTTGAAAATTCCTCACTTAATTGTCGCTTTTGTCTTGCAGTCACATTTCTCCACTGTATTTCATCATTTAATTTTTGTTCACCGCTTTTTTGTGTACTATTTAAAAGTGTAGTCATTTGAATTCACATAAATTTAGATGTGAAATTAAAGTATGAAATCATACTCTTTCATTATTAATGTGCTAAAATAGTAGACTTGAAAAAAACTTCATTTTCTTCAAAGTTGAGGATACTTGATTGAAGTGGCAGTGTCTTGATGTCATTTATATGATACTTTTACTTAAGTCAGTCTTTATAAGTAGTAGTAATGGAAATTTTATTCTCTTTCATATATACATACATACTAAACAGTAGAGAATTCTTACTACATTCAATGTATTACATAATCTTCAAGTAACAGTGGTAATCAACAGTTATATCGTATAACACAAAATCCACTACCTTAAAATATGTTTCCTTCATTGCTATCCAAGGATATGGAAATATGGATATATGTAGCTCATTGGCTTATGCACTTGACTTTCAGCTGATTGGTCGTGGGTTCGAGTTCCATTTTACCTACTTTAGCCTAGATACAGCTGCTTAGTATCACTGGCCATCACATGAAATGTGTCTCGTAGTCGGCTACATGACAAAATCTATCCTGGGTAATTGAATAAACAGTTTATCTGCAGGGATATAATTAAATGATTAATACGATAAGAAATGGAGGAAAAAATGGTGACGGGAATTTAGACGGCCCAATGTGGTTGTTTGTTTAGGCTCAGTTATACCTGGAACAGATTTTTTCATGAACCAGCCACAAATATCAACCATATCTTATGCATTATGGCAGTAACCTGCTTTAGTTTAAGCGCTATCACCAAAATTATTCGGTTATGAGCGGAATGCAAGTAACGGCCCACAAAACTTCATTGAGACACGCGTTTATATCACGAAACTTACTAAACTTACCAATAATAGCATCAAAACTGAAAAAAATCTACTTCAACGGTGCCGTCAGTCAGCCGCTATGCAGACAATGTAGATTTCTAAATACAAAACGAGTACTGTAAGACAAAATTAGTTAGCCGGAAGTTAAACTGTAAGAAATACCTTAGAATTGAGGAGAGAGTATTCCCAACGAAGTGGGATCAAAAGCTCCATCTATTTGGATCACACACGCCAACGCTTCCTGTAGACAGTCGCAGGTCAAGATGACCTTCATTCACTCAAACAAACTCATACTGTTAAACAATACACTGTCAATGTACACAAAACCGCAACGGGAAGTATTACAAATAAAGAGATTAAACAAGGATAAAGGCAAATAATTAAGGTCAAAGTTCACATGTGATACAAAAATGTCAAACTAATGATAAATGGTACTAGGGGAAAAGACGTATAATAGTTACAAAGTTAGTTGAAACGTCTAAATAAGTATAAGTATTATAAATAGTTCGTCCAGGAGGGATTTTTCAAACAATTTGTCCATTACAATATCATTGCGATATACAAGCCCGATCACCACGTCAAGGTGTAGCAGCTGCCAGTTGATATTTATTGTATTAACTCTGTAATTACTACTAATTATTACTTAATCTGTATTTTTTATAGCGTGTGGAATCAAAGTAATTTATTTAATTCATTTGTAAGTTTGAATTGCATTAAGGTCAGTTGTTTTTTCACCCTAAACTCATAGGATATGTTATAGAACAGTCAATTCTAGAGGATCTTACCTACCAACTTCAAAATGCAACACCTAGAAGTATTATTCACAAAGTAAATTTCCATCTCCCTCAGATACAGCGCCATAATATACCCCTATATAACCTTCTCATCATTCTTATCGCAGACTAAATTGTTGCAACCACTTGAGTTGATTCCAACAACTGGGCTTACTTACTTACACTCACAAATGGTCGATTTCACCACTTCAGTATTAATGAGTTGTATACATAGCACCATATTCATAGATTTTTAGCCACATTTATGGTTGGCTACGTTAGCGGGTAATTAACTGGTCTGGTTGGTCACTAATTTTCTGAAGGTTAAACCTTGAGATTACCTCCTGACCACAATGTAGGCTAGATCCAGATTTGAAAAATAAATGCTTCTACTGCTGTAGCCAATGACTTAAAATGTTGTTTTTAATTTTCGCTACTTCTTGTCAATGTGCGTCTGTATACTACTGATAAATCTTTTCAGTAGCACACACCACACTATAATAGAATCATTTTATTTTATATATAATACACAGCGGCGATACAGTACAGTACATTTAGGGAAGTGTGTCTCTTAAAAAACACTTAATCCTACCCGAAATGTATTGTGGATATATATATATATGGCTGACACTTTCACAGGAATGAAGATACAACACATCTTTAATGTCTTCAGTAGCGAGAATTGGATTCTCATTTCAATTGGAAAATGACACCAAGAAGAACTAATTATGTTAGACTAAAATAAAACGAACAGAAGATGGAAAATTGTACACTAGTGTTTATAAAAATCTAAATAATCAAATATGAGAGAGAAAAGGCGTTGGTGCTTATTAATTGTCCCATTTAAAATTCATTTGATAAGATCAAAAAACCTCAAAAGAAAAGGGAAAATAGTAGTGGAACTATTGACGATAACATAAATAAGAAAAAAATTAAGACATCTGAAGTTTTTCTATATAGAGGAGGAACATCTAAAACCCTGCGTAAGAACTAGTATGATGTTTAAAAACACTAAACACTTTGAAATGACTATGAGGTCAACTGCATAGGTCAATTCAGTAGATCGAGGTCAGTTAGGTCACGTAACATAGAAATGTGTTGAATGACTCATTCCTTAAAAAAAGGCAATCAACTTAGGGATAAACTCCATCATATCTAACTCAATAATTATAATGTATACACTAGCACACAATAAGGGTGGGGCAGAATTATATTTCTAGAAAGCCAGTATAATATAGGTAGGTGGAGGAAAAGATTGATCACTGAATCCTTGTTCATCAAATCTACGCCGAATACTTGCAATAGGAATGATGCGTCATTGCTATCAGAAGTGTTTGTTAAGAAACACTATTACCATTGAGACATGTAATGATAAGAAATAATAAAACGTATGTATTATCAACAAAATCTAGAATTTATGTGATTACCTACCTGGGTGCGATTATGAGCAATAGATTTTTATTGAATTATTCTTTAATGGAATTATACTCTACTATAATGCCTAAATTCTATTCTTATACTGTGTTGTATGCACATCTATAGCAGACAAAACTATACATATGGTGTCATTTTTACTTTGGGAAACATAGCAGTATCCAAAACCATTTGAAATATATAGTATTGGATGGTAGAAGCCAGTCATCAAGGTGTATTTCCTAACCTACGTCTAGTGCTTGTTGGTGTAGTAGTGTCAGTTACAGATTACCACATTTCCTCGGAAGTGAACTCAAGTTTCAAGTGAGAACTTTGTAAAAGAGCGTCTTGAGCTTCATCAGCAACAGTCTCAAACCATTTCTTCGTAGCGTTTCGAGAACTCCAGTTAGGTACTGTACACCTCCTTACGTGATTGGCTCGAGCCAACAATCAAAGACTTCATGGATTGGTTTCAGGTTTTGATTTGACCACCTCTAACTCTTTTTCAACGTAATTCTGTATCATCCTAAGATTGCTCGATGAAGAAGGTGAGAGTTTGGTACGTGTAACACATATCCGGGTCATCCCAGTCAATGCATTTTCTTGACATCAGAATTTAGAGACTCTCAATCTTCAGGATTGGGTGTTATGTACAAATTTACCACTCAAGATTAGTTATCTATTGTTATTTAGACCTAATTTTTCTAGAATACATTTGTCTTTACAGTGCTGTTTGTATACCCCCCTCCAGGGCACTTATAACCTTGGAACCCTACTGATTGTTGACTGTCTTAACTTATCAATGTAATTAGTGTCTCCAAGGCCATTCAAAGCATATATGTACACGAGACAGTAAGAACTGTCTACATCAACGATTTGTTTTGTTTTATCACGGATTCGGTGCTATCGTATCTTGTGTGATTAGAACAGTAGGCTCGCGAGTCGACTAGGTAGGAAATTTGTTAGCGCAAACTACCAAGTAATTCCATTATGGGTAAATTTTGTTTTGATAAAGTCTCACAGTGTTATACGGTAATGTTTGCTGATGACGTTTCGAGCAAAATTTATTGCTCATAATCATATCATATCAAGGATTACATTACTGTATAACACTGTGAGACTTTATCAAAACAAAATTTACCCATAATGGAATTACACTCTACCACAGTGCACAAGTTTTATTCTTATATCAAACTATCAAGTGTATTCACCGTCAATAACACCACCTATTTACCTTTTTTTTCCTTCACGTTCCCAGTGGAACATAGGGCTTCAAGCTAGTGGCTTGAAGTTTCTGTAGCAGTGTTTTATTTTTTACAGGATGGGATTGCTGGCCTCATGCCCAACCTTCCCTCTTCACCAGCATTATTTCTGGTTTAGCGAGGTAAAGGAGTGCGTCGGCCGGGGATCGAACCCCGGATCATGTGTATGGTCGGCGAGCGTCCTAACCGCTATGCCTAACTCCTTTATTTGATCTATCTAAGAATATTGTGCAACTCATTTTGCTTCTCTTTTTGTAGAACTCAGTAACTTACTAGTTTATACTGTCTTATATTTTTCATTTGTTGTTCTATATATTTTTGGTATTATTAATATATTTTTTTCTCCTTATCTCAGTTCAATGGTTATACGTGATTTGACGTTAAGATCAGCATCAAGTTTTGGTAGTTTTCATCTCATCCGTCTACTTTATGATGAATATATATTTTATCTGGTTGAACATAAAGTTGCTGCTCATCTAGGCATGACACCAGTTGCTGTAATGGGTGAAATGGGCAGGGTAAGTAAAATTTGTTATGAATTATCACCTAATTTTTAGTGTAATTATTTTATTCCTATCATCTCTCCTTAGGCAGAGTTAAACTTTAAGCACCACTAACTGACCAACCAGCGAATGGCCTTGAACGCACCAATCACATGAAGGAGGTTTTTTTAGGTATGGAATACATATATTTACAAAAGAAAACTGCATAAAAACTGTATGAAAGTGGATATGAGGATGCCTTTCTCTCATATGTGATAAAAACATCTCCCAGTTTTGCATAGGAGTATCAGTGGAAAAGTTACACCACATCCTATACATATATTCATCTAAATGACTATAAAGGACATCACTTTACGTGCCATTAATGGCTCTAATCCTGTTTTTTAACCATTCCCAAAAGTCTTCGATAGAATTGGTGTGGGTCCCTGTAATGGGATGACAAGGAGTTATAACCCTTCCACTCATCGGTGTGTATTGTAGATCATTATTTCCCCAGTCGAGTGATAATGGATCTTAAGGTAATTGACTTTCTATCTGCTATCCTTTCGACGTATTCTTTCCGTAGAGAGGTATCATATAAACCACTCACCCAAAGGTTATTTGCTTGTTCACGACCACAGCTGTATTTTTCCTTGAATAAGACAGTTTCATTTATATGTCCGACGACACTTTCTCCTCTTAGTAAGCAAGTAAGCCTCTCCATTTTCCATGACACAATATCCCTGCAGTTCTGGCACCAATGAACTGTTGATACGAGACTGTTTTCAGTTTCAACAGCTGTACCTCTCACAGGCTGTTTACAAATAGAAAAAATCTGTGTCAGGGACGAGTGGGACCTGGCAAAAAATGTTCCTACGAAATATTAACATCATCAGTTTACCTTCCTTGACACTATTTCGTCTCAAACAAATTACACAATGATACACATATCCATCAGCCGACCTGCTGAAGCTTTTTAAGCTCATGACACCTCCACATGAACAAATCCTTTCTTAACCCACATCCGAGCAATACTGGAAAACCTTGTCCTCACTGAATTGCAAGCGCAACTGTGTTAGAGCATGCATCAAACAGAGTAGAAGCTTCAACTCCCGTGGATGAAACTATGTAGACCATTCAAGGTCAATGGTGCTTAAAGTTTAACTTGGCCATCTATTAAATTATCTTTTCGAGTAATTTTACAATATAAACACAGACTTTTCATGAATCCTTATGGTCCACTAATTAGACTGACTGTGTTTACATTATGAATGTGTGCATCTCCATTGTTTCTGTTCAAATATCACTGTATAAATGAGATTGTTACTAGTGCCCCATAGTTAGATATCTTACATGCCAAACCGTCCAGTAGGAGTTGAATAGAATGCGATGAGGGTGGGGCTTCTGACGATAACATGAGGAAGATCATGTAAGCAGGAGGAGGAGGAGGAAGTGAAAACTTGTGGGTGTAGTTGTGGAGCCAGTTAAAAATGATGGCAGGAAATCCGAGTGTACTGAAGAATATCGCCATTGAAGTTCTGTGTTCCACTAGAAACTCGAGGAGTAAACAGTGATATCATCTGATGATTAAACTCATCGCTCTTCTGTTGTTGTTGTTGTTTTTTTTTAAAGATGGAGTCAGTAAGTTGCAAATCAAGAGAATTTTTTATTCCTTTAAATGAATTGATTACATCTGAGTAATATGTGAACAATTTAACTTTCTTTCCGTGTGATGCTTTGCTAAACACGATCTCAAAATCAATAAGCTATATGTAATTTCTTGTACATCACAGCACTGAATGTGTAACCGTGAAATGGTCTTTAGTAAGAAACTCGATGTCATTATTATAAGTATAAAGTCAGAATTTGATGGTTTTTATTTTCATCTCTCGCTGTGTGGTGGGTGCGTACTGCCAATGACTCCCAGACTAGGATGAAGCAGCTGTCCAGTACTCCAGTGTTGGTTTTCAATGGTTCTCTAACTATTATCAATCCATGGTCAAACTCGTATAAAACAAATCTAATCCTTATAAACCAACTATTGAAGATTATAATGATAAAAAAAATAGTGATAATAAGGTTTATGCAAATGGCAATAAGACTAACGAAGGTAGTAAAATGTGTATATGCAGATAATTCAATAAATAAATTAGGTCAAATCTTAAAAAGTTACCTGATACTAAAATTGTAGTGGACAGATAATCAAGGTTTAAATAAATATCATAAAAACAAGAAGGAAATGGAAAATAAGAAAGAGTGAGAGGGTTTTAATTAGAATTTACCCTAGGCCAAAGGGGAGACAAACGTAGAACAAACTTCTTTTGTATGCAAAGACTAGGATTGTTGTCTCCCATAGTTTCGGCTATGTGTAAATGGCTGATTCGAATTCCGTTTGGAAGGTTCAATGGAATGTGATAGATAACTTTATCTGTCCACTTGGTGACCTCTATCATCAATCAAATGTGACAAAATAGAACTTCTTATAGATTTTATTTGGCCTTTCCCGAACCATGAAGGAAGATGCTCATGTATACATTTGTTGAGCTGTCTATTTGTTCACCCCATATGGCTTTCTCCACAGGAGCAGTTTGTTATTATTATTTGATCCACAAGCTCACTGTCATTGGTTAAATTCTCTATATAAATTTTCTATGTAAATTAGAGTAAAGCCTGAAGAAGATTTAATTGAAAACAGGAATATTGTTCGCTTATATGTCTTGTTGAAATATACTTTTTGTATCTCAAGACTTATTGTCCTGGTGTGTCTGTTTTTCACTAGTGGTGGTAGGATGCTCACCAATGGGGAATTCAATTCTAGGGGCTGACACACTCCTAAACATTACCTGGTTTATTTTGCAAGTATTGGTTTTGTAGGGATTTGGTTTGATTGCATGGAGGGTTTCATCATGAGCTGACATCAGTTAGAGAACCACTGGAAAACCAGCTGGGAGTACTGGATAGCTGTTTCGTCCTAGTTTGGGACTCTTCAGCAGTACGCGCCCAACGGGATTCGAACCCAGGACCTTCTGGTTACGAGGCGAGCTCGTAGACCATTGAGCCACTGGGACCCGATCCAATGGTCCTTGAATTCTAACTTCTGCCAATTCACGACATAGCGCGACCATTTCGCAATGTCTTCTTCGTGAGTAACTGTCCTCATCTTCGACCTGCTGGGTTCGAATCCCGTTGGGCGCGTACTGCTGAAGAGTCCCAAACTAGGACGAAACAGCTGTCCAGTACTCCCAGCTGGTTTTCCAGTGGTTCTCTAACTGATGTCAGCTCATGATGAAACCCTCCATGCAATTACCTGGTTTAGTTTAGAAGCTTAGAAAAGAGAGACGGTTAGTCTTTGGAGCTTGCCACCCCCCTCATCCCGTAAAAAAGACAGCACTACTGAAACTACTTCAAAGCATGAAGCCCTATATCACTTTCGGAGCGCAAAGGAATGAAAAAAACAACAACAAAAAACTCATCCTTCTACTCGATCACTGAGATCAAGTTTTGAAACTAACGACTGGCCTACCTTGTCTATTGCAATTTACTTTAAAAATTTCGTACACAAGTTAACTAAAAAAGAGTGTGTTCTAGATTCTTGGTAATTTCGTTTCGTTTTCACCGTCATCACTTATATTTATGTCATCATATATGATTATTTTTCTGTCTTCTCATATGTATATATATATATTTAGGATATTACTCAACAACATTGTGCTCAAACACGTTTACACTTGGATTTACCTATTCGTAGTGATATTGTACGATCTTCAAAATCAAATAATAATAATACTAATCATAATAATATTAATGATACGAATAATTCTTCATCAGTAAAACTCTCAAATTCTCTAGACTCTTCACAACATCATCATAATGATATCGATGGAAGTCATAGAGATTCTCTAAGTTCATCTAAAGACTGCAAGATCAGTACTTCTACTACTATTATTATTGATAATAATAATAATAATAATAATAATAATAATCAGAAACATAAATCCAGTATTGATCAACAAGATCGAGTAGATGGTGTACATGATGCCGATGTTGATGAGGATGATGATGATGACAATAATACTGCTAATAATCTGAATGCTACTAATACCGATATTGATGATTTCGATGAAGAAGTGGATGAATATTTAGATGATGAAGAAGAAGTAGATGATTCATTTGGTGATGAAAGTGCTATGCTAAAACAAGCACATGCATCAGCACAAGCATATTGTCGTCGGAGTACTACTACAGCTACAGCTACAGCTATATCGACATCATCATCTACATCAACATCATCAGCGAATATTCTATTTCAATCAACAAATATTCTCTCGAATAATCATCTTGTTGACGATACTACTATTAATGAGGTAAAAATCGAGGATAATCTTCAAGAAGAAAATTATACTACAAAAGAAACTCAAAGCACAAAAAATAAAGATACTGTAGGCGATATTAAAAAGGGTGGTGGCTGTGATGATGATGGTAGTAATAATAATAACAGTAATAACAATAGCGGGACAATTCGAAGTGACAAGACAGCATTATTGACGGGGAATCAAATAAATATTTCTAATCATCATCATCATTCAGAGAAAGATAAAACAGCAACAACAACACCAACAACAACAATTCGTAATTGTTCCCCACCATCTATTGTAACAATGGTAATGTGTGTTTTAGCATTTATTTTTGTTCATTTGTCTCTGTGTGTGTGTGTTTGCTGTCTTGTTTTGTATTTATTACTAATGCATAACGAATGTCATTTATACAATCAATCAGGGTGTCTGCCTGCCTGTCTGTCTGTTTTCGACATAGAACTTTGCACCGATGTGCAGCAGAATTCAAGTCGCCACACTCCATGTAGCACACAAAGCAAGAGAAGAAATTAGAAGAAATGCATAATACATAGACAGTAAATAGAGGTGAGAGACAAAGGAATAGTAGTAACGAAGAGCAATTTAGTTTCATTGGAACTCATAAGTCACAAGTGGAGTGGATGCATCTGCGCCAGCCATTGAGAACGATTTTGAGCCATATCACCAATTGTTTCCAACCATCGGTTTCATTTTTTTTCCTGCACGTTCCCAGTGGAGCATAGGGTTTCAAGCTAGCGGCTTGAAGTTTCTGTAGCAGTGGTGATTATTTTTATAGGATGGGGTTGCTAGCCTCATGCCCAACCTTTCCTCTTCACCAGCATTATTTCTGGCTTAGCGAGGTAAAGGAGTGCGTCCAGTGGCCGGGAATCTAACCCCAGACCATGTTCATGGTCGGCGAGCGTCCTAACCGCTGTGCCACCGATGCACAGTGGTTTCATGAGTGAATGTTTATTGCAACAGGTCAGAACCAGTGAGTGGACTCTGAGCATATACAGTTAAAGTTTTGAAACAAAAGTCACGTGATAACTGATCTAATGCTGTTGTACCAACTTAGCTGCAAGATTTAACTATGATCTGATTAACTATGTCTGATCCTATATTTCAGTTAATTGAGTACTGAATTCAATCACAACACTGACCACTTCTCCTCGGTAACCGACCAATCATAGTCCTACATCAGGTTAATGGTGGATTTGAATAATGTTATGACAGAGAGAGTACCTGTAGACACAACACTAACACCTACTGACCATTTGAAAATATTCCCCCCCGCTCTCCACATTGAGATAGACGAAGAAGTCAGACAACAACGATAACTTTTATTTTAAAAAGAAATAAAACCTCGGGAATTTTAGCCATAAATAAACAAATTTTAAAAAAAGCTGTTCAATCACGTTATCATGTTTTTATTGCATGCATAAATTATGATTTCACGATTAACTAAAAAGCTTGTCTGTGTTAATATAGATAACTGTGAGAGGGGATATCACAGTTCCTTCAAGGTTTTACAGATACATCTTACTTACTGACGAGAGCCAGTTAGCGCAAGACTTAGATTCGGGATATCGCTACTTAGAGTGACTTATTCCATATTAAATAAGTTTGATTGGATGGAGGATTTCATCATGAGCTGACATCAGTTAGAGAACCATTGGAAAACCTACAGGAAGTACTGGACAGCCGTTTCGTCAGCCTAGTTTGGGACTCTTCATCAATACGCATCCACCGAGGTTCGAACCCAGGACCCTCTGGTTACAAGGCGAGCCCATAGACCATTGAGCCACTGGGACCCGATTCAATGCCCAGCCCATGAATTTTGACTTCTGCCAATTCACGACTGCTGAAGAGTCCCAGACAAGGCTGACGAAACAGCTGTCCAGTACTTCCTGCAGGTTTTCCAGTGATTCGCTAACTGATCTCAGCTCATGATGGAATCCTTCATCCAATCAAAGTAAATCCCTACAAAACCATTACTTGAAAATTAAATAAGTTTATTTGGTATAACACACACACAAACCCAACGACATGGTATTCATAACTAGATGGTGTTTTGAGCACTATATATCACTCATAATCATATAAATCTTTTCATACCACTTCTTTTTATTGTCTTCATTCCTCCTGATTTAATTGAATTTGAACCGAAATCCTCGGCCCCTGTTGACATGTTGACTCCTTGTGTGAATGCTTCGACAATGTTTCAGTACTTAACCTGAAGTAATCAGGTGCAGGTGCATCGAGATGACGAGTTCCACATGGGACGAAATGTGTGTTATCCTGGATTCCATTGCTAGTTACCATCCACTTATTTAATTCTGCCCCTGTCTTTTTCATTTCTCTATATACGGGATGGGCGTAGCTGAGTCGATAAACAACGATTCTATATATCTAACGTTTCTTGCTGTCTATTTTATTGAAGTATTAAAAAGTGATGTAATTTGGTGAAGAGAGAGAAAGAGGGTGGTTAATCACTGACTGAATCAACCAACACCAAACACTATCATCAATTGAAATGACGCACAACACTTATCTCGGATACGTGGAATATTGTAATGCAAAAATGAAAGGAAGTAAGACTATGAAAAGCAAATCATGTGATGAATGCACTGATGATATGATTATGAGCAATTAATTGTACTTGAAATGTCATTCATTTATTAATACCGTAGTATCACTCATTATGTGTGTGTGTGTGTCACATCATAAAAACTTATCTAATATGAAATTATATTCTACCATAATGTTCTAATTCTACTCTTACATTAGTATGATTTATATTTTTTTAAAGTGATTTTTCGGTAATTATATGTGTTTGTGGTTCAGGGATAGATTGCTCGCCAACCACACACACCCACACCCACAAATAGTTGGGTTTTAATTCTTTACCAACACACTTCTAAACTTCGCCTAGCCATCCGGTAGTAAAATCTGGAGAAGAGGGGAGGTTGGGTTATACTTTGAGTTATACTTTTGCGGTTTCGAACCTTTTACCCACTGGTTCAAATTGAACTGGGAAGACTGTTTGAGTATCCAATTGAATATTCAAGTACATATACAGAAAAAGTGTATTTTTATTTATTTATTTTTTTAAATACACATTTTAGTAGCTCATAAAAAAGGGACCAACCAAGCCAATGGTCTGGGGTTCGATTCCCGGCTGACGCCACTCCTTTACCACAGTCGGTGGTAAGCCCGGTAAAGGGGGAAAGTTGGGCATTAGGCTAGCAATCCCATCCCGTAAAAATAAACACCAGTGCTACTGAAGCTTGAAGCCAGTCTATGTTTCAATGGGTACCCGAAGGAATAAAATAAAACTTGAAAAAATTTAATACCTCATGCTTTCTCATGCCTTATTCTTTAATTTTTGTTATTTTAAAAAAAAAATAGCCTACGCCTGTACGTAAAGTGGTTCGTGTAACAACATTCTGTGATTCAAGACAACAAAGTAACGATTCATCGTTTAAAAACTCTACTCCACTGACAACAACAGTGACTACACGTCCTATCAGTTTAAAACAGTCTTCACCATCGTCATTATCTGGTGGCGGTTTAACTCTAATATCAAGTAATAATAGTAGTAATAATAATATTGTTAATCTAAGCGAAAATTCTTCTTTTAATGATCCAACTTCATCGTCAGCATCCTTCAATGTAACTACTATACCTACTTCAATTGGTACTGCCAAGGTGACTGTAACCGCCACCACCAATGATACAAGTTATGCTAAACGACAAAAATTATTATAATTTACAAAAAGCAAAGCAAGTTGTGTTGTTTTTCTTTGTTCATTCATAGCTTGTTTGTTGCTTTTTCTTTTCTTGTGTTTGATATATTTTTATCCAGTGAAACAAATTCTCAATGTGTGCTCTTTCTCTACCCTTCTTCTCATGTGCATTATAATGAATCTACTCTATTCTAAATGTGATGTGTGTAACACTGGCTGTTCTTCTCCCTCCTCCTCCTCCTCGCCTTTGTCCTCTTCTTTTTCCTCTTCAACTGAACGTGTCTTATCTGTTATTGTGCATATAGAGATGTCCGTTCAAGTTGAACTTGGGCGCGGAGTGGGGGTGGGGCAGGCTGTGGAATCGATTCACCTCCTTGTTTTCTTATTTGTTGATTTGTTCATCTTTGTTTTGTTGTTTATTTTTGTTTTCTTGTTTTTTTTGTAACTTTTTCTTTCATATCCTAATTTAATCCCGTTTTAACAATAGACAATTGACAACTGTGAAATGTACTCATCATTATCATCATCCCTATATATGTATGTATGTGTTGTATACGCACGCACTGAAACATTTACACTGTAATTTTTGTATATTATCGTTGTTATCTATCTTCATTCACATACACACACACACATTATCACACACTTACACATAAACATACATACATACATACATACATACACATAATGCTGTTATTATTATTCTGTTTATTTCAATATGTTATGATGATGACAACACCTTGTGTACCACCTTTTGCGCAATGTGTTGCATAATGCTTACAACACTGCCTACTTTACTCATATTCCCTCTTTAATGTTTTGATGAACTAGTCGATTCTTTATTAGTGGTGGTGGTGATCAATAAAAGTGTTTTTTTATTATCAGTAGTATATGTGTAATTACGAATCACAACTACCACCACCACCCTACCCGCATATGTTTGTTTGTCTGTTTGTTTATTTGTTTGTTCTTGTTTATATCTAATTGATAGAAGTGTGGTGGTTAGATTGAAAAAAATGTTTTTCTTTGACTTTTTTATCCACTTCCCCCTCCTGGTCTCCTTTGTTTTTCTATTGATAATGAATGAATTCAAAAATGCATTTTCTTTTTTTTTGTGTGTGTGTATGAGTGAGTTAGTTAGTTTTTTTATTCTCTTGTAAATTTGTTCATCTTTTCTTTCTTTCTTTTTTAAACAAAAATAATAAATTATTTCGTTGAAAAGGAGGATATGTGTGCATGTGCGTCCGTGCGTGCCTGCGTGCTGGTGTGTGTGTGTGTATTTTGAAAGGTTTCCGTGTACACACATGTTTGCTTACTTACTAATATAATATTAACAATATAAATGGTGATAGTAAGTAATAATGTATTGCAAATAAAAGTTGTATTTTCGATAAATTATACTATTACTATTACTATTATTATTATTATTAGTAATCCCTTTGGTTTCGATTGGAACATAAGGCTTCAACACCATGTGAAACGTGTGTGTGTGTGACAGATGCCTAACGACCGGCTTCTTCAGCGAGCAGTGACCACCAGTAGGATACAACAGGTTGAAGATGAGGCAGTAATTCATCGAAGAACACATAGCAAAGTGGTCACCTCTTCTTCTTTACTTCGGCTATCTCCTACGGGAGGATGAGCCGGCTTCATGAACAAGAGTTCATGAAGTTTCATGGGAATTTGGTACGAGTGATGTCCCCAGAATCGCTCGGCCTTTTATTTGAGAGTGCAGCTCTAGCCTTTACACAACCAAGTGTGACCTACAAGGCAGTAGGACTGGAGTAGGGAGTCCACTATCCATTGGCAGCCGGTGACCGGAGTTCGGTTCATACGCCTTTTTGAATGGGGCCAGACATCCAGGACATCCAACAAGCCCTTTGTCCATACGTCTGCCGGTGAGCTTCATACGTCAGTCGTTGGAGGTTTGGAATCAGGGTTTAGCCATCTCCCCTAGACTATCATCCAATGGACAGTCAACCCGGTGAAGAGCGCCGGGCATCCGCTTTCGCCCTCTCACTTTGGTGAAAAACACCTCCGCCACGTGAAGGCAGTGAGTAGGACTTCCTCAGGAGAGGCTATGTAAGACGCCCGGTCATATGGGAGCATTTCAAGAGGTGTGCAGAGGGGTGGCCAACCCGCAGCGCAAGGCACCCACCCCCGACCATCCTGAGGCTTTGGAGGCTATGTCACGCTATGTCATGAATCGTCAGAAGTTGGAATTCATGGACTGGCCATTGGATTGGGTCCCAGTGAGTGGCTCAATGGTCTACGAGCTCTCTAGCCTTGTAACCGGAAGGTTCTGGGTTCGAAGCGTGGTAGTGGGTGCGTACTGATGAAGAGTTCCAAACTAATCTGATGGGATAGCTGACCAGTACTCCCTGCAGGTTTTCCAATGGTTCTCTTACTGAATTATATTTATCAAGTTTGGAAGGCGGTTGGTCACCAAGCTAGGTGATTCTGTGTCTCGATGCACTCTGAACTGATGGTAAGATATTTGATTGTAGCACTGGGTAACGCAAGTTCAAGTCTCAGAGGGGAGCTCAGCTCTGTCAGGGTTGCACACACACTTTGCTAACAAGTGACAACAATCACGAAACCAGTGGCTTCCTTCCGATAATCTGTGAAAAAGTAAGATAGTCACTTTTAGTCGCCATCATATGACATAAAGGCTAGAAATAATATTTATGAGCTATTTTCAGGAACACGCATTCATTAGAAAACTAGTGCTATAATTTCTTCTGGTAATATAGTTTCCGTAAAGTCTCAGTGTATACAAGTGTGTATAGTCTGATAATAAATTCGATGAAAAAGCCTTCTCGCTGAATACTGTCTCCTTAAAATTAGGACTAAATACAGATTTCCAGTTATTTATGTTTTTTGCGCATTATAAAAGTGCAGGTGTGTGTATGACATTCTTGAACCAGTTGACTGGTCGGTTCCAAGTTCGAATCCCAACCATTCTTATTTTTCCATCCTTGGTGATCATATCCTCATATATAAATATATTTCACAAATGATGAGTTCTTTTGATTGAATTCTGAAAGAAATCCGGGAGAAGGAACTGTGCGTATTGATTATTTCATCGTCCTACTGATTATTATTGGAATTCTATGTGTATAAAACCGTGGTAAATATCTCCTAAAACGTGAATTTCCTTCGAGGTGACACAGTCTTTAGAGCACAGCTTTATGTGATTCATGAGTTATTATGAGCGTACAATTAGTTTCCTTGATAAATATAAATGTCTAAACCAAGTTCACTTTTAACAGTTTGGAAAAATTTGGGTATTGGGTATATGTGATATTCATTAAAATAAAGGTTTTCTTGTATTTCCCAATGAAAGAAAAACAAAACGATATTGTTTTTACTGACGTTTCGCTGTTCAATGCTAATAGCTCTATAAAGATATTATGAAACCAGGATTTACAAAATCCTCTCAGCTTATATATAACAAATTTAATCATCGTTCATCACCATGGGGTGATGTTTTGCGTTGTCAAGTTGGCCAACTGGTAAAGATAACAAAACCAAGTGTGTGTATATTGTTGGATTTGATGAGTTTGTAAAATTATAAAAGCAGCGTGTGTTTACATAATGAAATTGCTTATCACATTCGTGTTGATTTTGTCACTTCATGGGGGAGGGGAGGGAGGTGTTGTAACCGGGTCAGATTCTGCTTTAGTCCATCATTCCTATTCAGGCAACTTGGATTCCACTTGATATGAAGTGATTCTGATATTAGACGTTCTTTGTGATTTCTGAATTATTTCAGTATTGTCAAAATCAATTTTGTGACCTGATTCTATAGCGTGTAGACCTATGTCTGATGATTTTTCAAGTTTTTCTAGTTCAACCGGATTTCTCGGTGGTCGAACAGATGCTCTACGGTGTTCATTTCTTCTGATTCTGATTTCTCGCAATGTTTTTCCGATGTATATTGCATCGCATTCCAAGCGCTTTATTTTATAGACACAATTAGATAGAGAACCTCTTTTATATGGACAAGGATTTTTCGCAGTGTGTCTGATGCTTTGAAGAAAACTCTAATGTCAAGCTGATTGAGTACTCTTCTGATATCTTCTGACGTCTCTGATCTATGTGGAATGACAACTGTTGAGGCTCATGTCTTCGGAATACGTTTTCGACCATATCTAATGTCGGTGTTGATTTTGTTGATGAAGTTCTTTGGGTAGTTATTTTGATTGAGAGTCTCAGTAATGTTTGATATTTCTTCTTCTTTCCCCTTCTCATCCGTCATTAAAGAGTGTGCTCATCTAAAAAGGACGTCATGCTGAGTACCGATGATTAGTTATGGATACGATTTTATTTTGATAAATCACAGTACTATACAGCAATATTAGCTGATGACGTTTCGAGAACAAATTATTGCTCATAATCATATCAAAAGTGTGCGTCGGTGGCATGGCGGTTAGGACGCTCGCCGACCATGCACATGGTCTGTGTTTCGATCCCCGGCCGGCTCACTCCTTTACCTCACTAAGCCAGAACTAAAAGCTGGTGAAGAGGAAAGGTTGGGCATGAGGCTAGCAACCCCATCCTGTAAAAATAAACACTGCTATAGAAACTTCAAGCCACTAGCTTGAAGCCCTATGTTCCACTGGGAACGTGAAGGAAATAAAAAAAATCATATCAAATACGATGATCAAGTTGTTACATATAAGCTGAGTGGATTTTGTAAATTCTGGTTTAATAATACTTTGATAAAGTTATTAGCACTAAATAGAGAGACTTCAGTAAACCAAGCAATATCGTTCATTGTTTTTCATTAATTTGGAAATACAAACAACCTTTGATAAATAAACTACAATAATGGAATAAGTACAACTTTTGCAGGATTAAATGAGTTAATTTCATTTCACAGGGATCTTGTCGGCTGTATACAACGTGGATGGTAAAATATGTATGTAAGCGCTTTGGAATTTTTTTTCCTTCACTTTCTTCAGTGGAACATAGGGCTTCAAGCTAGTGGCTTGAAGTTTCGGTAGCAGTGTTTATTTTTACAGGATGGGGTTGCTAGGCTCATGCCCAACCTTTCCTCTTCACCAGCATTATTTGTGGCTTAGCGAGGTAAAGGAGTGCGTCGGTGGCCGGGGATCGAACGCCGGACCATATGCATGGTCGGCGAGAGTCCTAACCGCTATGCCACCGACGCACACAAGCACTTTGGAATAGATGTTACATACTGTTGTAACGGCAAAAGATAACGGAATCGATAAAGGAATATATATTTATTAAGGAAAAAGGCATCATATTTATACATTTTTAACCACTTTAAAAAATTTGACTAGCTCAGCGAACAGTAAACTGTTCTGATTGGTTGGCGCGATTGGCCTAAGGTTAAACAATGAGATGAAAAGTTCTCTAATGAGATTATTCCCTTTGATTGGACACTATAACTAGTGTTATGCGTCTAGTCCTCTATTTGGTGTAGACTGAATTCTATCAATCAGGTTTGTAATGTGGCCACCATTGTAGGTAGCTCGCTATCACGATGCACACTGACTTGATGATATTAGATGGATTAGTCCTTAACCGTAATTTAACTAGATCGAGATTTGAGAGTCAACCACCTCTACTTCTGCAGCCATTAACTTGAAATGTTGATTACAATTTTTCGCCTCCTCCTATTAATCTGCATCACGCCACACCATAACTGAAGAACCGATTCATTTTATACCAGTAGGATGTAATGTCAAAAACTAAGACAACGCTCATGGTTATGCAGTTGTGGGGATGTGATTTACCTCGTGGAGTAGAGTGAATCCCTCAAGTCGTCTGGAATCGGGATCATTCGTTTGAAGTAATTATAGACAATACTCTCATTCTGAATATTCCACAATCTAGTAAGACTGATGCAATATTTATACCTGAGATGATATCACTTAAACGACAGCAGCAGTAAGAATATAGGTGAAGTATTATGATGAAGTAATCGGCAGACGTCTGAAGGTTAAAGCGTTGGAACCATGTTGCTCACTAGTAGATACATCGTGAACGTGTGGCATTAGACATGACCATACGTATACCTTTTAGCACTAATGAAAACTCATCTCTGCTAACGGCTAAGAGATCTGAATAATGGTGGGTCCATCTAATGCATCAAATGGTTTATTTCGCTATGCGGGGATGAATCTGTGACATTTGCACTATCTGCAACAAATTAAATAGCTTTTGACTTATGAGAAATACAGTCTACTTGTCTAGATTCTACTGGGGAATGTCTATCCGATAACCCATTGAATGCGTAACAACACAGGTCTTTTTGTTTAGTCATAATGGATAACGGCTCTTCAGAGGCGATTGGGAAAGACTGATCTTTGGTGAGTTTTGAAACAAGATTACTAAAAAAAAGAAAAGCCAATTAATAGAC